TTCTTTCTTTCTTTCTTTCTTTCTTTCTTTCTTTCTTTCTTTATCAGGAGTCTTCTTTCTGACATCAAGTAAATAGATATCTTCTTTTGGATTCTGTAACCAGAATGAAAAGAGTATCATTTATACAGGAAGGGCCTGTTTGTAGAACCTTTATCCTGTTTTTGCTGCTTGACTTCTTTGTGTCTTCCTCTGGTTACCTCTCCTATCATTTGCAGTATGAAGAATTTGATAGTATGTGTAACTGATTTGTCAGGAGCTTTTAGTAAATGGTCCATAGATTTTTTTTTTGCAATATATTTTTATTTATTGTTGTACTGAGAGTTGAACTCGGGATTGCACTGCCACTGAGCAACACCCCTAGCCCTTTTTAAATTTGAGACAGGGTCTCACAGAGGCTGGCTTTGAACTTGAGATCCTCTTGCCTCAGTTTACAAAGTAGCTGGGATTGTAGGTGTTTGTCACCCCACCCAACTTTTTGTTGAATTTATATCAACATTAGAGCTAAACTAAGATAGTTTCATTTATATGGTTTATCATTTGAATTTATATTTTTATGTTTATTCTCTCCTCCTTCTCATTCTTACTAATAGCATTGCCACCCAAGTGTAGAAAGAACACACATACAAACTGTCCTTCAGCATTCATTTTTCTTTTTTCTTTTGTAAACTGAGTTGTAGCATTTCTGTTGATTATTGAATTGTTTGAATTCCTGGTCATTGTTTTCTATCATTTCATGTATTATATTACCTGAAATTGTTTCAGTATGTTCCAAAAGAATACTTTTGTGAGAATACGATGGGGGCAGTGAGAGTCATCGCTTTAGCTACGGTGTATGGAGACACATCATAAAAAGGGTGTCATCTGAGCCAGGGCAGTAAGGATGAGAAGGGGACCAACCTTCAAAGAGCCAGGAGAAGAGCATCATAATACAGACAACAGCAAATGTGAAGGACTTGAGGAGGGAATGAGTTAAATACAGTTCATTAATTCAGATTATCAATATCTAAGTAAAATTACTTGGTCTAAATCATATGGAAATGTTTCATTGGCAGTTTAACAACATGCTGTTGATGGGCAGGGAGTACTTTTAGATGTAACAGTGAATCACATAAGATCATTGATAGTCAAGTTCATAGTCTAGTGTTTTAAGTCTCCCTGTGTGTTGGTTATTATTATTAAACTAGGTGTGATAGTGCTTTTTGGCTCTTATCATAAAGCTTGATTAATAACATAGGGCTTTTGAGTTCAAAAGCCTAGAAATCAAGTTTGAAAGTTCTACAGCCTGCCTCTTCTCTTTCCCTACAAGTGAATCAATATTTGCTTTCTTCTCTCTTGTTTCTCTGTTTTAATAGTTTCATCTCCTACTCTCAAAAATGCTGAACATTCAAAATCATATTAGAAATAAAAATGGCTTGCAAGAGCTTAAAATAGGATACTCCTGAAAGAGGAAATCTCTTGTGATTCACTGTGTATCTCTCATCACTATTGTCTGCTCTAATAACAATCAGAATTCTGTTTGCTGGTTTGTTTTTTGTTGGTTGGTTTGTTTGTAATGAGGAGTGAACCCATGCGTGCTTTACCATTGAGCTCCATCCCCAGGGGCTCACTAAATTACTGAGGCTGGCTACAAATTTACAATCCTCTTGCCCTCAGCCTCCCAGGTCAATGGGATTATAGGTGCACCACCACATTTGGCACGTTTGCTGTCCTCAATGGAGACGTGTATTCATTCTAAGAATATAAAAAAGAAGAATAAAGACTTGGGGAACTTTTAAACTTAATCATCTCGGGGTATGGAGAATTTTGCAGAGGTTAATTTCTGCAAATTCTGTACCTTCATATTGATACCCTCAAGGGACAATATGCAACAAGATCCCTTTTTTAGGAGGGATAAAATGGTATTTGCTATGTGCAGTTCTGAGCATTTAACTTAATGTCTGTTGTTCACTACATGGATGCAATAGGTATTATTTTAAGCTAATTTCTTTATGTGCATATCTTTAGTGACTCAAGGCATTAACAATTTATTCAGGATGTATAGGTAAAATATTTTTGTACTTCAATAGAAAGTATCATGTTTAATGGATTGGAGTTCTGTTTGTTGGTGATTAAATACCTAAACATATGAATTCTTTAGGGCTTAAGTATTTGCCTACACTTTCATGTTTTGCTTATAAAGAGCTCTTCTTTTCCATCTTCTTTTTCATAGCAACATCATGACAACAGAGAAAAGTTTAGTGGTCGAGGCTGAAAATTCTCAGCACCAGCAACAGACGGAAGAGGGCGAGGGAGCCACAAACTCAGGACAGCAGGAAGCTCAACTGGAAGAGGCTTCTCAAGCAGCAGCTGAAGGGGACAATCAGTGTGAGCAGAAGCTGAAGACATCCAATGGAGACACTCCGACTCACGAAGACCTGAACAAGAACAAGGATCGGACATCCGAAAGCAGAGGCCTCTCGCGACTGCTCTCCTCATTTCTCAAAAGGCCCAAATCTCAGGTCTCTGAGGAAGAAGTCAAAGAGGGAGAGTCAGATAAAGAAAGAGGTGAAGGAGGTCAGAAAGAGACAGAATTTGGAACCAGTCTTGATGAAGAAATTATTTTAAAGGCCCCAATTGCTGCACCTGAACCTGAGCTCAAAACAGATCCTTCCTTGGACCTTCATTCATTAAGCAGTGCAGAAACACAGGTAAGGAGGTGTCAACCGAGGAGAGGGCGTGTAGTGGAGACAGGTTATACACTTCATTTCACTGAAAAACATTTAGTTTCATTTCTTATGAGCCAGTTAACTTTGGCATTGGTAAGGATAAACAAGATGAAACTTTGGAGTTAGCACTCTAAAGAAATTAATGTAGTCAGTGGGAACTTGATTTTTAAAAAGATACAGTCTGTAAATCAAAGAAAAGGAAATGAAAGAAAAGTATCAAGGGAGTTTGTTCAGCCCATATATCATCTTGCTGTCATAATGGAAAAGTTCAAGATTTTAATGAGAAAGTGAAAAAGGTTAGGTTGTTTTGAGTTCATTTTCGGTGAAATTCTTAGAAATGGAATAGTTGTCACCCAATGTTGTCCTTTTATGGAACTTTTTGGAAAAACTATATAATAGATTCAAGCCATCCAAGAGTATGAGATAGATTTGAGCCATGTCTACCTTATTCTTCAACTAGATTCTATTACTGCAGAATGTAAGATGTACGTAGATGAGGAATCTAGCTCTTTCTATCACTGTGTAGCATTTATTAGTATAGGGCCTGAATCTAAAGTTTGGACTATATATATACAGTTTTATTAGAATTTTCTTAAAAGATTATATATATTTCTAGAAATAGTATTTGTATATTCAGAATGCTAAAGGGAAAATTAGGATAAGATGGTAATTGTGCATTTGCTATTAGTGAAACAAAGTTGAAAACAGGATTTACTGTATAGTGTAATCACTTTGAATATACACAATAGAATCAGACCAGGGAGTTCAAATCATAGAGAAGTGACACTTTTCATTTCATCACTTTCCTCCTTCCCACAGTGGGGACAGTGATATCCACCTCATGGACTTTTGTGAGGTTTAAAAGAAATGAACCTGTAAAACATGAAATATAATAAGCACTCAATAAATGTTAGCTATTATAACTCAGTTTTTAAACATAGACAGTAACGGCAAAGAAACCCTATATGTATTCTCAGGTATTGCCATATAAGCATTATAAAATAAACACCTTAAAATTTAAGACAGAAAACAAAGAAACCCCACATATTATGATGTCACTACTTTAATTTTTGGAATATCAAAAGAGTTAAATTACATTGCTTTTCAGGAAGTCTGGTGCTTTCAAAGGAATTTTAATTGCTCCCTCTTCCTTTTATGAAAGGAAAAATCTTGTTTTAGTTAGCATTTGAATCAGAACTTGTCTATTTTGTCGAAAGATCATAGATTTGTATTTATTTTTTTTCACATTTCTATTGGTGCATTAGAATTGTATATAATGATGCAATTTATTATTACATATTCAGACATGTGCTCACTTTAACAATATAATTTGACCACTATCACTCCCCAGCCCTAGATTTGTATTTAAATCTATGAAACAGGTAATAGACAAAGTTAATTTTAGATTTAACTAAAATCTCATCAAGACTTAATTCAGAAGTAAGATAAATTGTTTGCAGGTATTTATGTATGTTTGAAGAAAAATTAACAAAATAAGTTAGTAGTGTTAATAAAATCTCAAGTGGTTATTATTTAAAGGAATAAACTATTTTAGGCCTTTGGGAACTAGTATTTGCAATCAAAACCTAGTGGATCAGAACGTGTAAATAACGTGAGTTTGTATTATAGGATTGTATCAGTTTTCATTCAGGATAGTTTGGATTTTGGGGAAACCAAAATATTTTTAATGTTTATTTATTTATTTATTCCATAAATACCTATTGAAATCCTACCATGTGTGCCAGCCTTAGGGTGGATATACCTTGATAAATTAAAAACTACACTATAGCGAAGAGGTTTAAGATAATGGATTCTGGAGCCAACTGGTGTGTGACTTGTATTATCCTAGTCAAGTTACTTTGACTTCTGTGACCTCAGTTTCTCATCTGTCAAGTGGAGATAATAATAGTACCTGCCCCACAGGGTTATTATGAGGATTAAATGAATTCCTGTAAGTAATGATCTTAGGACAATAACTGGCTCACTGTAAATGTTGGTCATTATTTTCATTATAAAACAGATGGTTCCTACTCTTGTGGGTTTTGTACGCTAATGGAGGAGACAAGTTTTAAGTATAAAATTAGAGTTTATTTATAATAAGTGTTATGAAGGCAACAAATGGTGCTGAGGTGACAAGTACTAGAGCAGGGATAGGGCGACATGATAGCTAAAGAAGGCCTCCCTGAGGCTGCATGAGATATTGTGAAGGTTGGGTATGGGCCTTGTAGGCCACCTCCAGTATCTAATGCAGGAGCCAAGTCATTAAGTCCTTTTTTCCTAGATGGCAACCATGTATTATTTTAAAGAGAAGAATTAGGTTTAGTTAAAATCTTTCAGCAGTTATATTATGTTGAAAGTTAAAAAAAAAAATGGCTGCCAAAATATTGTCCCATTCTCCTGTGTTATGACTTAATGATTATCCTAGGTGACCCAGATTTCAATGTGTTTTTTCCATCTTTGAATCTTGTTTACATTTAGCATGATTGTTCCTGGTAGGAAGGAGTTAACAGGTAGTCTTTAACCTATTATGTATATTTGTTCAATGTGCTAAAATAGATCCCATTGTTAAAATTGAGAATATGTGGCAAGTAATATTTTATGTAATTCTTTTTTTGTTTTAATTTTTAATTTTTAAAAAAATTTTAAGTTATACATGGGCACAATATCTTTATTTTGTTTATTTATTTTTATGTGGTGCCGAGGATCGAACCCAGGGTCTCAAATATGCGGGGTGAGCACTCTACCATTGAGCCACAACCCCAGCCCCTGTTTTAATTTTTTAAATTGATTTTTTAAAAATGACAGCAGAATGTATTACAATTCTTATTACACATATACAGCATAATTTTTCATATTTTGTTAAAATTTAGGAGCATGGGACAGAGAGGATAAAGTTTTTTGTCTTTGTACTGAGGACTGAACTAAGGTGTGCTTTGCCACTAAGCCACATCCCTAGCCCTTTTTAGTTTTTTACTTTGAGACAGGGTCTTGATAAGTTGCTGAGGGTCTCATTAAGTTGCTGAGGCTGACCTTGAACTTGTGATTCCCCCTGCCTTGACCTCCTAATTACAGGCATGTGCCTAGCAAGATGATGAAGTTTTGACAGACTTTAACAATATCATATAATGTCATAGTCAGAAAGAATATATAACATTGAGAGCAAGGGATTGATGTCTTACAATTTACCTGAAACCATCATTTATTAATTTGATGGAATTCTATCTGAGAAATTTTGAGAATAGTGAAGTCTGTAGATCTTTTGGGGGATCATAATATATTTAATAAAAATAATCACTTAATATTAATGTCCACGTATTTGCTTTAATAGTTTTTATTTTTTCACTTAGTATTTTTATTGGTAGAATTATTGTAGGTAAAACTATATTCATTCAACACACTTTGTAAAATGTCTTTATTACTTACCTCATGATGCCATGGACATGCAGCCAGCTCAGGAAGAACACAGAGAAGATCTAGATTTTGAAACTAAGGAAGGAGAAGGAATTGAAGAGTGCTCCAAAACAGAAGTAAAAGAAGATCCTGAGTCAAAAACAGAAAGAGAATTAAAAGCTTCCCAGAAATCAGTCAGACGACACAGAAACATGCACTGCAAGGTTTCTTTGTTGGATGACACAGTTTATGAATGTGTCGTGGAGGTGAGTGCCTTTTAATGTCCAGTAGCCAGAACTCTTACAAATTGTTTCATGTCATTGGGATAAATGGTGCCTTTGCCTGAGACAAGGCCCACTCTAAGGACTATTTCTTTCCTTGTTTATAAGATTTGTTCTTTTTAGTTATACATGAAGGTAGAATACATTTTGACATATTATTCATACATGGAGTATAATGTCCCATTCCTGTGGTTGTGTATGATGTGGAATTACCCTGGTTGTGTATTCACATATGAACATAGGAAAGTTATGTCTGATTATTCCACTGTCTTATTCCTATCTCCCCTCCCTTCCCTTCATTCCTCTTTATCTAATCTGATGAACTTCTATTCTTTGCCCCACTCCCCATTGAGTGTTAGCATCCGCATATCAGAGAGAACCTTTGGTTTTTTTTGGGATTGGCTTATTTCACTTAGCATGATAGTCTCCAGTTCCATCCATTTACCGGCAAATACCATAATATTCTTCTTTATGGCTGAGTAATATTCCATTGTGTTTATATACTATGTTTTCTTTATCCATTCATCTGTTGAAGGGGACCTAGGTTGGTTCCATAGCTTAGCTATTGTGACCTGTTTATAAACATCAATGTGGCTGGGTCTGATGACTATTTCTGTGAATTGAAATGTTAATAGTGATTATCTGGAGATGAGGGTGCGAGAAGATTATGAGTGAATCTTATTTCTCCAATTTCTTTCTCTATCTTGTTACTTAAGCATGTGTTACTTTTGCAATAAAATGTGCTCTATTTTTTGGTTTTAAAATAGATGTATTTGTTATTATAGAGTTCTTTTTGATGACTAGATTTCCCAAGATAGCCTCAATTTCTGATATTAGATTCAGGTCTCCCTATGTTTGTCAAAAAAATTCTGTTTGTAACATTTCTGTTCCTCCAGACCTAAATCTTAATCTTTATCTATTGTATGTCTTTAGTGCCATGAGATAGCATATAAAAATGTAGATCAAATAAACCATTTCTTAAAATTCCCTAATATTTTATGAAAGAATAATTAATTGAATCAGTATTGAATTAAAATGTCAGAGTTATTCAGTTTCTCTTTTGCTCCTTCGGGACAAGTTAAGATACAGCATCTATTAACTAACTTTTGAAACTAGAGCAGTAATTGCCAATTATGATATACTTGAACTATGAGCAATTATTGTGATTGTTACTAATAGCTTTTATGAATAAAACATGCTGTTCACATTTTCTTATATCTTATGTATACAACAAATTATTTCTAAATTGAATTTTGTGCAAAAGCAAATATATCCAAATACAAACTCTAAAATATTATGTTATATTTAGTAATAGGTATTCTCTCTCTAAATTTTGAAAAGGAAATCAAGAAAAATCTACTTTTGCCTTTGAAGATAGCTACTGCACCGGGAAACCTAGGAGAGACCCAGAATTTACTTTTTCTGTTTCTTGCCACTAGCTAGTGCAGAGATAGGAAAGCTATTCCACATTAATTCATTCTTATTCAGTCCAAGATCTGGATATGGATCCTTGTATCTATAACCCTTGGGAACAGATGTGTTTCAGAATTCAGAATAGATTGAAATTTAGAAAGGTGATAAGTATGTATTCTGCATATTTCACAGATTTCTCAATACACCCAATAGGGTCTGTAGCTGTGTCTGCAGGGCTTAAATGTATTTCTATAGTGAAATACATGAAGATTCATCATAAGACGGATAACTGAAGACCATAAGTAGCTTCTTTATAGCTTTGGCAGAATTTCCTCCAAATGAACTTTAGTTCCCCCTTCGCTCCCAAAAAATTTTTTTATTTTTAGAACTGGATTTTAAAATTAAGAATAAGGGAATTAGGGACCTGTATATGAAGAATACTCAACTCATCTTCTGTCATTTGTAGTGAAAGCAGGAGGAAAAAGAAAAGAATGATGAGCTAGAAATGGGTTAAGAATGAGGTGAATGAACATTTGTATGAATTACTAATAGTCATTTGATATAACTCATTAAGTGGAGAATGTGTCATCTATGTGGCCTAAAAAGATTCCTAGGGCTGGCAGTGTTGCTCAGTGATAGAGCAGTTGCCCAACATTCACAAAGCCCTGGGTTCCATCCCCAATACTGATTTTAATTTTTATTTTTTTTTAAATATTTTTTTTAAAGAGAGAGGGAGAGAATTTTAATATTTATTATTTATCGGCAGACACAACATCTTTGTATGTGGTGCTGAGAATCGAACCCGGGCCGCACGCATGCCAGGCGAGCACGCTACCACTTGAGCCACATCCCCAGCCCTGATTTTAATTTTTAGAAATATTTTTATATATTTCTCAGAAGGCATTAGCATGTTCAATTTTTTTCAACAATTTCTGTGAATAGGTAGGACAGGTATAAATATTCTTATAATTTTATAGATAAGAAAGCTGGTATTAGTTGCAATGGCTCAGGTTAGTTGAAGCTGCTTAGTTTTTTAAGCTAATGAATGAAGGAGTTAGGACGTTTTACCTCTAAATCACAGCCTCTAAATTAGGGCCTTTCCTTTCTATAAATGGGAGTATAAGTGCCAAGAACTTGTGAGTTGTTTGACGTTGAAGGTAAATAAATATTAAAATGATTTGTAGCACTACCGAAAGAGCTGTTCCAACAGGTAGTGTCTGTAGGCTATCTAGAATTTTATGTTATATATATTTCTCTTGGGACATTTGTTCTGAAAATGATGGTCTAAGGATTTCCACAGCCACAGTTAATTGTGAGCATTGACAGTTGATTCAGCTGGTTGCAGGGACTGGCACTGGCCCACTGTATGTTTCAGGAAATATTGCTCCCCAAATAAAGAATGTATGTTTATGATGGAGATGGGGGATGGGAGGTAGAGGAAAGGTAGATTTGCATTGAAACTGTGTCCCAAAGTACTATTCTTGTGTTGCATATGTAAGCTGATGAATTGAAAGACAGTAATTTAAATCATACTGTTCTATGAGACTGTGTGGCCACCTGAAATTTAATAACCAAAGATAAAAGAGGTAAGTAAAAAGTAACAGTTTATTTCATTTGATGATAAGAACAAGGTTAAGAGGAAACCTCAGCCGGGCAAGTCTCCCAGCTGCTTGGGACGCTGAGACAGGAGGATTGTGAATCCAAAGCCAGCCTCAGCAAAAATGAGGCACCAAGCAATTCAGTGAGACCCTGTCCCTAAATAAAATACAAAATAGGGCTGAGGATGTGGCTCAGTGGTCGAGTGCCCCTGAGTTCAATTCCTGGTAGCCCCCCTGCAAAAAAAAAAAGAAGAAGAAAAAAGAAACCTCAACTAAAATATGTTGTTTATTGCAGAAACATGCTAAGGGACAAGATTTGCTTAAAAGAGTATGTGAACACCTCAATCTTTTGGAGGAAGACTACTTTGGTCTAGCCATTTGGGATAGTGTAAGCTCTAAGGTAAGGAGACTACGAGCAGTGTAAGAAGCTGACAAATTATTTGAATTCTTTGTTGTTGTTACTGTTGTTAAGAATGTAGTTACACCTGTCTCTTTAAGTGTACTTACTCTGTTCTGGTTTCTCAGATTTTCCTGCTATTTTCCTTCTATAATTACCTTCAAAGCAAATACTATTGCTAGTGTGTTCTTTAATCATTGAGAGAAAGTATCTATCATATATTTTTAAACAGTAGGGAAAGTAAAGAGGTATATGCCCTAATTTGCAAGCAAACAGATGCCAGTAACTTCATATATTATGCAGTTAGTATTGTATCTGATACATAGGAAGTTTATAATAAATATTTGTTGAATGGATGTAATTATGATACATAATTTACGAGCAATGTTATTGAAGAGAATAAACTCCTAATATTATTAAAAGAATCATGTAACAAATTGACATTTTCCCCAATCTTAAAGAAAACCAGTTGTTAACTTGTGTTGAAAGGAGAAGAATGGGTGGCAACACCCATTCACGGTGGAGGGAAGAAAGGTTAAAAGGCAGGCATTTACCTCAGAACGCTTGAATTTCCTGCGCCAATTAATTGAAATTGCAAATCTTTCGCATAATCTACTGATGAAAACTTAAGTCCAGTTTTTAACAAGTGGTTTCGTGTGCTGTACTGGATACTGTAAATAGAGCTGTGATTAAGGAAGACATAGCCCCTGCCCTCTGGAGCTTCCAGTTCAGTATGAAGATGACATTGACTCCTGGTGTGATGACTGTTATACTAAAGGAAATACAGGACGTCATGGAGTTATGGCCGGGGAAGTTTTCTCTGGGGAGGGGATACTAAAATCTAAAGGATAAAATGGGCAAGTGAAGTGACAGAATGGCTGCGTAAAGACCTACGATCGAGAGTGACGTTTGAGGAACTGAGAGCCAGCTAGGCTGGCTGAATGTTGGAGGTAAGGAATATAGAAGAATCTAGAGAGCTGCTCAGGGGTTGGAGGAGTCCTGGAGAGCAGCTTTTATAAAATATTGGTTCTTTTTCCAAGATGATTTCAAATTATTAAGAAAAATTGAAGCTAGGCATGGTGCTGCACTCCTGTAATTCCATTGGCTCAGAAGGCTGAGTCAGGAGGATTATAGGTTCGAAGCCAGCCTCAGCATCTTAGCTGAGACCTTGTCTAAAAACAAAAGCTGGAGGTGTCACTCAGTGGTTAAGTGTCCTTGAGTTCCATCCCTGGTACCAAAAAAAAAAAAAAATATATATATATATATATATATATATATATAGTTGAGGGGCAGCAGCACTGAACAACTGTAAACCCTATTGATTAGGTTATTTAGGTTAGTGCAAACTAGAAGTGGAATGACAATTTGCCTAAGTAAAAGTATTTAGTCCTAGTAGCTCCCTCTAAATTTGCAAAAGTTTGTTCCTCCTGTGAACAACTGTTGATTCTAGCAGAAGAATTGTGTCTACCATCAAGTACTAGGTTAATATTGTTCCTTAAGGACTTAATCTTTACTTTGTCTCCCTAAAGGATCAAACATGCTTTTATTAAAACTATTTCTCACTAGCAAAGGAACATTAAAATTAATTTTAAAAATAAAACAATATCCCAAAACTACAGTGAAAAACTTTCTGCAGCTGTAAGCTAAAAAATTCTACCAAGAATCTGGGGAAATACTCTGAAAAATATTTATCTTACATTCACTTAATGAGAATTTTGATGTCTAGAAATTGAGTATTGTTATATTGTAGGGGGAAAAGAAGGTTCATTTGAGGATAATTAAGAATTTCATAACTTGCCCAGTAAATAAAGTCACTGCTGGAAATAAATTTTCTGTGAATCACGTTTCTAGAAGCTAGCTCATCTAAGGGTTTCAGCAGAAGAAATTCTGCTGTTGAGTTTCTGGAGTCCATATTGGGATAAAATTTTTCAGTTTCATTGAAAACTTTTTACCATTATTGGTGTTGTCCATACTCTGCCCTGTGGAAAGTTTTCTTTATAGCAGTTTCTACTATCCTAGTTTTTAATAAGCAAATATTAAATTATTTTATTTATGTTTATGTGTGAAGTGTTTTTTAAAATATCGAATATAAAAGCTGAAGAGCAAAGTGCAAACCTGCCTATGTAAGGAAATATCCCTCATAAAGTATTTCTGGAAAAGGAAAGGTGGTATCTCTGAATCACAATCTTGTGGGAAGCCATTCTGGCATGTGATTGCGCACCTCCCTGATTGGGTGTGAGGCGTTCTGACTAAACTGTGTCGGAACTAATCCCCACCCTCTCTAGGTGCGAGAGCTAATCCATGTGGGGGTGTGACTGACCATTGACCCTGAGACCAATCACTGACCCTGACCTTGGAATGCTGTCCCCCTCCACCTTCATTGGATGGAATTTTCCCCTGAATCTCTTGTTCCCCAATAAAAGGCCACTCCCTGGCATGCTCTCGCTCTCTCCTGCTAGTCCTGAGTAAGCCTTGCTGCCCCACCGGGTGGCTCCAGGCTGGAGCCAGAGGGAGGGCCGTCTCAGACCTGGTCAAAGAAAAAGGTAAATTGAGTTTGTGTGTTTATTTTGATCTCACTAGTTAACTTCTATGCTTCCAACCTCTAGTATGAAGCTAGCGTGCTGTTCGCGCGGTGGACAATCTACCTTAAATTTCCCTGATAGCTATAAGAAGACCTTTCCAGGGAGATCTGTGGGCAAGTGATCCTAGGAATGAAGGGCTTATTATAGTCAGGACATTGTCAGTCTGTGGTGTAAATCAGGTCCTTAAAGGATATCCAGCAGAACCATGGTCAGAACCTTTCTGTTTCTTGATCCTTCTGGATAACTTTTGGTCCCTTTTCCCCCAAGCCCTTATAGAACCAAGCTACTAGGATCTCCTGCTCCAGAGTTATGAGATTTCACATTTCTGCATCTTAGTGTGGGTCGGTTTTCATCCATTGTTTCGGCTGTTGTTTACATTCTTCACTAGGTTGTGATTATCTCAAGAAAATAGGTGCCCAGAACATTGCCTGCCCCGAATACGGCAGACATTCAATAAATTAATTGAAAAAATTGAAACATATTGTTACACTTTATTTTTTTTTTAATGTTTATTTTTTAGGTGTAGATGGACACAACACAATGCCTTTATATTTATGTGGTGCTGAGGATTGAACCTGGGTCCGGTTGTGCTAGGCAAGGGCTCTACTGCTGAGCCACAATCCCAGTCCCATATTGTTACACTTTAGACTACAGCTTTGTCACTTACTAGTTGGGAGTTAGGTAAATTATTCATACCTCTCATTCATTGATAAAATAGTAATGATGATGAGATAATCTATATGAAAGCATGCAGAATGGCCTTGCATGTAGTAAGTGCTCAATAAAAAAAAAGGAGTTTCTCCACTTCTGCTGACAGGTGGAGTCTATGTGCTGACAAAGGTATTGCAGCTTTTAATGGTGGGCTATGCCCTCCAGTGTTGCAGCAGACCCTAGTAGCTCACTGCCAATTTATTCTTTCTGGTTCTTGTCTGGAATTTGAAGAGTGAAATCCATAGACCAAGAAAAGTGAGAATAAGAGTAGAATTTATTGAAGTATGTATAGAAACAAAACTCTTTTGGGTGAGAGGGGACCCAATTAGGGTTGCTGCCTGAGTGTGCTATTCTAGGGGTTTATATAGGGTAAATGCTATTGATCCAAAATTTATATTAATTAGGGTTTGGAAAGGTACTAACACTATTGACTAGCACTAGTACTAACACTAGATTACCGGGCTGGCTGTGAGGCTTCCATGCAATCGGGGAGCCTTGTCATTCCCATTGATATTATGATAGTAGTATTATTTCACAATTAAATTACCAACAAACCAAGGCCTCCGCTTAATAATTTATTGATCCTAATCTGGAAATGCATTCTGGAGCACCCTTCAGGTTGAATAAGCTACCTAATCTTTTCTTAGGAAGGGTGTGTACTGAAGAATATTATGCTTCTTACTTAAAATTGATGGTGTCTAGCCAGATTATGGGACTTCGTCTTAGCTATTGGAAAAAGACAAAATTATGACTAATTTAGAGATTTAATTGACTTTAATTGGTTAATTTAAAGATAGAATTGACTTTGATATATAGTTCATGAATAGGGCAACCCATTCTGCAGAACACAATGAGGGCTCCCACTGGGCAGGGAAGTGGGTTTTGTAGGGGGATAAGGAAACAGAACAGTGTGTGTGTGAGTGGGGGGGAAACAGTGGGCATCAGGTTACTTTTGTAAGGGTGAAAACCAAGGGGACTTTTTTTTTTTTTTTAAGTGAACTCAGACTAGAATCTTGATTTCAAGAAAAACTGATCTGTTTGAGGATATAACTTCTTCCTTCAGGTTTCAGTTTGATTACCTGACATTTAGCAGGAGTGACTCTATTTTGGTCTGGTCTTTGGGGGCCTATGGTACCGGAACTCATTCCAAAAAATGCCCTACTATGACTTTTGTCTAACACTGTCATTCCCTATATCTATTGTCAATAAGCCAACTTTCCAGAAAATACCCTCTCTAGAAGAATATACATATTAACGAAGTGACTAAATCTGTGAAGTACGTAGTCTTGTAAGACTATATCTAAATTTTTGGTCATTAGAAATACAGAAGATAGTAGAGCCATAAAGCCTTTTGGTCTTACCCACCTAGTTTTGTTTTCGCTGTAGGGAACTCAGGGGCACTTTACCACTGAGCTATACCCCCACTTTTTTTTAGATGATCTTGCCAAGTTCTCTAGGCTGGACTTAAACTCACAATCCTCTGCCTTAGCCTTTGGAGTAGCTTGGATTACAGACATGCACCACCATGCCTAACCATCCCACCAATTTTACAAATGAGAAAAATGAAGCATATAAAATCAGAATGGCTTTCGTCTTGCACAGTTTACTCCTTCAGCTCTTTGCCTGCTCCCCCATCCTAAGTGATTTTCTTTTTATTCTTTGTTCCTTGATTTTAAATTACTTTATTGTTTCTTTGTTCTTTCTTCCTTTCTTGGTTTCTACCTACAGAATTAGTTCACGTGTTGGAAAAAATTTGAACTATTATAATGAGAAGAAATACTGTTATCCTCTTTTCATTTCTAATCTCTGATGTCCTCTTTTTGTATATGAAAAGGTTTATCCTTGGATATGTAGCTTCTCTCCTTTAAAAGCTTCTGAATCTGTGTTTTGTTTTCAATCTAGTACCTTGAGCTGGGTGGAAAGTTTATTGAAGTGGCTTTTTCCTCACAGGGAGTGGTTTGAACTTGCTGCTTTCCTACTTACTGCATGATAATAGGCCAGTTGCCCTACTGAGTCTGAGCAGAGAAAAGGAAAAGTGATCAGGAAGCAAACTCTGCTCTGAGAGATTTTTGTGACTATGAATCAAGTTATATGAGTTAAATAGATACTTCCATTATTTTATTTCTGCCTAAAATTATTTATGAATGAATTGAGGATTTTTCTCTTGGGGGGAAAATCACTCACATTGTTTACCCTTCCTCCTAATCCTGTCTGTAAGCAAAAAACAAAAGCTCTTTGAGCCAAAGGATTGAGGTTGTAACTCAGTAGTAAAATGTCCCACAGTTAATCCCCAGTAACAATAACAAACAAAAAACTTAAGTTCTTCTTATAAAAAATGAAAATTTTAAATTAAGACTACATTCAATTTAATAGCATTTATTCTTCTTTTGCCTCCCATTTTCCATGTGGATGAATATTTAAATAGAAACCAGATTATCCAGAATTGTTATTTTAAGGGACAGCTTAAGATACCTGGTAAAATATAATTCTATAACTGTCTTCTTAATATTTCATCATTTTATAAATTAAGTTCTCTTTCCTCTAACATTCTCTTCTATTTTTCTTTTCTTTCTTCTTCTTCTTTGATGAACTCAGGGACTCTTTGTTCTCTGTCCCATAGACTTGATCTCATCGCACCATTTTGCTAAGCTGTATCAGTGCTATTTATAGAGTACTGATTATGTCATATATATGTATATATATTTGATATGTGTGTGGGTGTAATAGTTTATTCCACAATAACTCCATGAGGAGGGTAGTTTGTACCAAGTACACATATGAAAAAATTGAGGCTCAGAAAGATTATCTTAGGTAAGGTTTATATAGCTAATAAATGGTGGAGAGGTTAAGGCAAGATTATAATTCAAGACTGATTTCAAAGCATGTTCCCTGAACCATTATACTCTGCTGGACCACAATTAACATCCTGCACAACAGCCTCTTATTTGGTCTCCCTTTCACTAGGCATGCTTCCTCTAATTCATGCTACTCCTTTATTTTAAATCCTCTAATGGCTCCTGCTTGCCCAGAACTTGATGGAGTCCATATTCCTAGCACAGAGTAAGGTGCCTTCCCTGATCTGGCCCTTATTTTCCTTTTCAGTTTTGCATGTCTCTTTACCTCTGAGCTCAAGCTGTGGGGAACTACATATGGCAATTCAGAAATAATCACGTTCTTTTTATACTTCAGTTACTTTCTCATTACCTTTTTTTCTTTTTTGCCTGGATACCTCCTGTTTGTCAAGACTCAGTTTAGATCCCCTAGACACTTTATTGGAGAAACATTTCCTGACTGCCTTCCAATCCATGCTGGTGCGTGTTCTCTGTGATCTCAGTGTACTCTCAGGTCTGTCATGGCACTGTCATGGTAATGGCCACACCTGGAACAAATCGATTGCTCATTGTTCATGTCTCACATTAAAATGACGGCTCCTAAAGAACAAGCACTCTTTTTATAATCTTTTTTTTTTTTTTGAAACCACACTGTCTACTACATTGAATCATTCCTCCAATATTTGTTTGCTAAATAAAATACTGGGAGTTAAATAATTTTAGCAAAAAAGTAACTGTTCTTGTTCACGTCAATTCTTATTATCTCCAGAAGGTTTTATTTTGCTTTTTCTGGTGCTGGGGATTGAACTCAGGGTCTTCACTCATGCTAGGCAAGTACCCTATTACTAAACTACTCCCCCAGCCCTCTTTTTGTTTGCTTGTTTTGTTTTCTTTAATTGTAGATGGACAGCGTGCCTTTATTTTATTTTATGTGATGCTAAAGATTGAACCCAGTGCCTCACACGTAACAGGCAGTCATTCTGCCACTGTATAGTCCCAGCCTTCCCCAGCCCTTTTTAATTTTATTTTGATACAGGATCTAAGTTGCTCAGGCTGGCCTCAAACTTGCTATCCTCCTTCCTCAGGTTGCTGAGTAGTTGAGATTACAGGTATACCATGACACCCAGCTCATTATTATTTTAATGTTTTTATGGAAGTATAGATACTGAAAAGTAATAATTTGTTATATAAATTATCTTAGCCCTTGGAGTCCCCATGGGACAAATCTGAATTTGCTATCTCAGTGTCAAATTGGTGGGCATTTTAGCTCTAGAGTCAGAATGGCTCATGGAATCCCTGGAAGGAACTTGGAAGCTTCAGGTTACCTTGAGAGATTATCTTAAATTAGAAAATGTGGAGTTCTTTATTATTGTAGATTATATCCACTCCAAAGCAGTAAAAAGTTGTCTTCCTTAAGCTTCCCAGATTGTATAGTATAAACCAGGGTTCTCAGAGATGCCACAAAATTTATCAACTAGTGTTTTTAAAAATTTCCTTTGCTTTTGCATCTACCACAACTTAAAGTTCTTTAATCTAAATGAGAGACTAAGGTCCTCCCTTTCTGACAGGGCTTATACCACTGTGTACCTAATTTTTATACTATAGATCAATTTTATATTAAGTTGTATTAGTAAATATTTCTGTGTTAATTGTGAGGGAGTATAAAAAGAAGCTAGTCCTTAGTCTTTGGGCTTATTGTCTGTTGTGGTAACTATCTTTCTATATAATCAAATATAAAACTGTGGTGTTCAAGCCCATTCCTTTGAGCAGGCAGATGAGTTGGTCACCCTTGTTGGTAGAGGGCGTAAAGGGGACATCTTCTGTTTTCTGAATATCACTAAAATTCGTTTTTAGAGTTTTTGGCTGAGGCAAGGGGAAGGATTAGGTAGAAGTAAAAGTGGAGCTCCTGAGGGGTTTTGATAATACTATAATTTGTATTGTTCACTTTGTTATTTTACTGACCTATGTACTTATTTTAGGTTATTTCCTGTGTGTGTATATATGTATGTATGTATTGGGGATCAAGCCCAGGGCCTCATGCATAACTGCTCTTGTAGATGGACAGCATGCCTTTATTTTATTTTATGTGATGCTAAAGATCAAACCCAGTGCCTCACACACAACAGGCAGTCACTCTGCCACTGTATAGTCCCAGCCTTCCCCAGCCCTTTTTAATTTTATTTTGATACAGGATCTAAGTTGCTCAGGCTGGCCTCAAACTTGCCATCCTCCTTCCTCAGGTTGCTGAGTAGTTGAGATTACAGGTATACCATGACATCCAGCTGAACTATACCCTCAGCCAACGTACTCTTTCATTTGTATCTTCATTCTGTAGAAATATTTTAAATAATTCTAGAAATTTAGTGATTTTTGTCTTTAAACATTTTTCAAAGGTTCCTATGAAAGATGTTAATGGTGAGGCTCTTTTCAAGTGCCACTATTTTACATGGTCTACCATGAGCTATGGAGCCTGTCCTGGTGATGTGTGGACCCTTGACAGGGAGAACAGTGAGGGAAAGATTAGTGTGGGCAAGAGTAGTCAGGGGGAACCTAATGGCCCTGTTATCCTATGAACATTAACTGGGTATGAACCATGTACCAGATGTTGTGCTGATGTAGAAAACTTGAACGAGACAAAGGTCAGGGTTGGAAGGGAAAGTAAGATTTGGATAATGTGAATTGATTCTGGTTGTAGAATCTTCTCTAGACTTGACTGAATAATATAAATAGCGAGTGTTTATTTCTTTTTTTTTTTTTTTTTAAAGAGAGAGTGAGAGAGGAGAGAGAGAGAGAGAGAGAGAATTTTTAATATTTATTTTTTAGTTCTCGGCGGACACAACATCCTTGTTGGTATGTGGTGCTGAGGATCGAACCCGGGCCGCACGCATGCCAGGGGAGCGCGCTACCGCTTGAGCCACATCCCCAGCCCTCGAGTGTTTATTTCATACTTAACGTTTACTAAGAGATTTCCATATATTAGCTCACTTGATCTTCCTAACTCTGTGAGGTGTGTGTTACTCTAATATCTCATTTTACAAATGAGGGGATGAGGCCTGGAAATGGTAAAGTTACTCAGTTAGAATGTAGTGGAGCTTGGATTTAAGCCCAGCTTCTGAGTCTTACTTTGCTGAACATCATTATGTTTTGTAAAATCAATGCAAAGCCTGTCAGGAGAGATGCAGGCTGATGTGGAGGCACTCTTCCAAGATGGTCAGTGATCCTGCTTCCAAGGACTCTGTTGTTTATGTGTATTGTGGCTCTGTGTGAATGCCTTTTCTCTTTTTTACAGACATGGCTGGATTCTGCCAAAGAAATCAAAAAGCAAGTTCGAGGTAAGTAGATATAGCCCTTTTTATAGTTTTCCCTTTCTTTTAGTAAGTCAGAGGATTTCCAGCCACTTCTGGCTGTGAGACAGTCACTTTAGAATACTGACCATTGCAGATTGCTTTGAAATGACATAAAGCCTTCCCCTGGAAGGAGGAGATTCCATAATAGAAAAATGAAGCAGAGGAGGACACTGTTGAGATGTAGGTTAGATCTTGACCTTTTTTTTTTTTTTTTTTTTAAACAACTAGGCAAAGCTAGGGAAGATAGGAACAGGTAAGAGTAACAAGTGGAAAAGAACGAAGATGAGCCAAGAAAAAGGATATGGGAGTCAGTTCCTAAAATGTTAGTGATTAAAACTGCAGTAGCCCACTAGTGGGAGTTTGCTGCTAGATCCTGCTCCTCTTAAGTTGTTCTGGACTATTGTATTACAACTTACTTTATTTCTTTCCTTTCTGTTTTTTTTTTTTTTTTTTTTTATGCCAGGGATTGAACTCAAGTCCTCACACACTCTACCTCTGAGCCTCGCCCCTAGCCCTGTGTTCTAACTTTCTCCATGTTTTCTTCCCTTTACAGTTGTCCCTCTTTATCTGTGCTATCACTTTCTACAGTTTCAGTTACCCACAACAAACTGTGATCTATAAATTTTGAACAAAAAATTCCAGAAATAGATAATATATACATTTTGAATTGCATGCCGTTTGCAGTCCTGCTCCAGTCTTGCCTGGGACATGAATCATCCTTTTGTCCAGTGTAACCATGCTGTGTCGCTATCCACCCGTTAGTTGCTTGGTTGCCATTAGGGCTATCAGGTAATCCCAGTATCACAGTGCTTGTGTCCAAGTAAGCTTTATTTTATTTGATAATGGCCATAGAGCTTAAGAGTAGTGATGCTGGCAATTTGAATAGACCAAAGAGAAGCTGTAAACGGTATCCTTTATTTGAAAAAGTGAATTTTCAACTTTATGAGATATATATGTATATATATATATGAAAACCATACACATAGAGATTAGTACTATTTAAGATATCAGGTGTCCACTGGGGGTTTTGAGGTGGAACATATTCCCTAGGATAAGGGACCGCTGTAGTTTTCATCTCTTCCAGCAGTCTTTTCCAACTTGAAGTATAAGGGACTATGGAAGATAAACAGAATGCAGGAATAAGAATTGCTTGCCACTGGCTCTTCTGACATTGTGGCTTCACTGTCAGCTTTAAGGTCTCCAACACAGCTCATGCTGTATACCCTGCTCAGACTGGTGTCCCGGGATGAAGAAAAGTATATGTTAGTATTTTGTAGCCTCAGACCCAACAGATTAACTAAGAGGTAGATGTTTTTTGTTTTGTTTTGTTCTGATTAAAGGTCAATAGCTATCCTATGAGTTTAGTTTATTTTTGAAGAAACTTCCAGGAAATGCAGTTATTAATCATAATTTTTAACTATCACCTGAATGCAAACTTTACTTCCAGAAAATAGAAATCAAGAGAGGCTTATTTAAGACCCTATACTGTAAAGTTTCTCTGTTTCTGTAGCATAACTATTTTACAGTTCAGGAATTATCAAGACTTTTTTTGTCTATTTGATTAATTTTTTTCTGGGATGGAACCCATGGGTGCTGTACTATTGAGCTACATCCCCAACCCTTTTTGTGTTTTATCTGGAGACAGGCTTTTGTTAAGTTGCTTAGGTCCTCACTAAATTGCTGAGGCTGACCTTAAACTTGCAATCCTCCTACCTTAGCCTCCTGAGTCACTGGGATTTCAAGCCTGTGTCAGCACACCCATCCCATTCATTTATTTTATTTTATTTTTTAAAAAATTTTTAGTTATAGATGGATGCAATGTCTTTATTTTATTTTTATGTGGTGCTGAGGATTGAACCCAGTACCTCATGTGTGGCAGGCAAGCACTCTACCTCTGAGCCACAACCCCAGCCCCCATTCATTTCTTAAAACACTTCTCTTATGGTGAAATGTTTTCCTTTAGACTCCATTTATAATTGTTTTAATTTTATAAAAAGAGAGAAGATGCCAGGCACGATGGCGCACGCCTGTTATCCCAGTGGCTCAGGAAGCTGAGACATGAGAATTGCGAGTTCAAAACCAACCTCAACAACTGTGAGATGCTAAGCAACTCAGTGATGTCTCTAAATAAAATACAAAATAGAGCCAGGGATGTGGCTCAGTGGTCAAATACCCCTGAGTTCAATACCCAGTACCCAAACCAAAAAAACAGAGAAGATAATCCTTTGGACTGCCAGCTCTCCATATTTGCTTTTTATCTATAAAAAAGCTTGTTTTTTTTTTTTAATGCAAGTCAAAGCAAAAAATATTCAGAATATTTGAGACATGACTAGAAAAAAATTTCTATCTTCTTTCAGTGAATATGCTTTTAATATTCAATATTACTCAGGAATAATATTACTCATATAAGAGGATTCTTTAGGAGGAAAAGTTAACACAGTGTATGCTAAGAAGAATATTTAGTAGATTCCTAAGTATTAAAAAAAACCTCTTGCTAAGAAAAAGAACTTAAATGTTTGGCATTTTAAAAAAATTATAAAATATGAGCTTGCAGTCTTGTGAAGATATTGTCACTATATACAATAGAGAAACAGTTGAATTAACTATGATGTTAACTATTATTAATAAATTTTAACAGTTTCAAAATTTAAAAAATTACAAAATATCAAATCCTTTCTACAACATGAAAAAAATTATTTTTTCTAATAAAACTTTAATAATAAAAATGTAAACATCTTATTTAGCCTTCACATTTATCTATTGTGAAGATGTTTTCTTTTTTAACTTTTTCATTATACAAATAATATATACTGATGAAAAATTTAAACATTATTGGATATAGTCACAAATTGATATAATCTGTAACATTTTCTGTTAAGCATGTACAAATTTTGTGTTTCAAAAATATAAGTATTCCAGGGCTGGGGATGTGGCTCAAGCGGTAGTACACTCGCCTGGCATGCGCGGGGCACTGGGTTCGATCCTTAGCACCATATAAAAGTAAAATACAGATGTTGTGTCCACCGAAAAACTAAAAAAATAAATAAATATTAAAAATTATCTTTTTTAAAAAAAATATAAGTATTCCATACATAGTTTTTTAAACTATTTTTTAAGATAGATGCTACTAGTATGTGTATCAAATTGAAAGGCACAAATGAGTACAGCACAAGGTGAACCTCCCTTCTTCCCTGTCTTAGTCATGCAGTTTCCTTTCTTGGAGACAACCATGGTAACTAATTTCTTGTCTTCCTTTTAGAGATGTTCTGAGTCTATACAGAAACACACCCATGGGTTTTTGAAATTCATCTCTGTTAAAAAAGATTTCACAAAATAGTTCTTAATCTGCACTGTGAGATTCTGATTTTTTTTCTTTCTTAATCCCCTTCACATTTTTAAGTGCTGATTTTTCCCCCTCACTAAATTTGTTGTACGTGGCTCATAATTCCATGGTTTAAAAAAGTACCTACTTATATATATGGAAGTGGAATTACTAGTTTATAGGCTATGTTTATTTTCCTCATTACATGATATTGCCAAATTGTTCTCCCTTAAATTGATTCTAATAGTTCACACCCCCACCAGTATTATACAAGAGTTCTTGGTTTCCTATGTTTTCAGAAGGCAGACTTTTCTTTCCCAATTATTTTTGGACATAATTTCAGAATTACAGAAATGGAAAGAATGGTATGAAGAATTCTTGGATACCCTTACACCCTTCCCCAAAATTTCTCAAATGTTAATATTTTACTACATTTGCTTTATTTTCTTTTCTATTTACTTATACGCGTGCATGCAAGGGCACAAGTGCATGTAGGCATGCGTGTATACACACACACACACACAAACACACACATGGCTTTTTTTTCTGAACCATTTAAAAATAAGTTGCATCACAGCAGCATTGTCCACGAGGCCAAGTTGTGGAAACAGCCCAAAAGTGCATTAACAGATAAAGAAAATACAGAATATTCAAACAATGGCATATTATGAAACCACGAAAAGGAATGAAGATGAATCAACCTGTGGATGAGCCTTGAAAACATTATACCAGATGAAAGCTAAGCACCACAGGGCACGCCGGGGCCCGACTACTTAGGAGCCTGAAGCCAGAGGATTCTTGAGTCCAGGAATTTGAAGCCAGCCTTGGCAACATAATGAGACTCTGTCTCAAAGAGGGGGAAAAGTGCCAGACACTAGACACAAAAGGCCACATATTGTATAATTCAGTTTAAATGAGCTATCCAAAATAGGTAGATTCACAGTGACAGAAAGCAGATTAGTTGCTGGCAGGGGTTGAGGAAAGGGTGAACAGGAATTGACTGCTTAATGAATGCAGGGTCTCCTTTGGGAATGATACAAATGTCTTAGCTAGGTAGGGGTGGTGGTTGTACAACTCTGTGAATGTACTAAGTGTCACCCAATGTACACTTTGAAGTGGTTAACATTATGTGAATTCCACCTCAATTAAAAACAGTTGCAGTCATGATGTCCTGCCCTTCTGCCCCTAATTACTTTATTTTGTGTGCCCTAAAAGCTAGGACTTTCCTTCTCCCAAACCCCCATGCTGGGTATTGAACCCAGGCTCTCACCCGTGGTAGGCAGGTGCCTAGCCCCACACCAGGAACTTTCTTACATGACCACAGTACAATTATCAAAAGCAGAAAATTAAAATTGAAACAATATTATAACATATAAACATTATTTTTAGTCATCCCAACGATATCCTATAGAGCAAGAGAAAGTAAAACAGCATTGTCACATCTTTTTAGTTTTCTTTAATCTGGAACAATTCCTGAGTCTTTAAAGTGTTTCATAACATTGGTAGTTTTGGAGTATTGACCAACTATTTCATAAGTGGTCAGTTTGAATTTGTCTAATGCTTCCACATGGTTAGATTCAGGTTATGTACTTTTGTTAAGAATGTCATTGAAATGTTGCTGGGTTAGAAGGCAGAAATTTTATTGGTGACAATTTTTAAAGCTTTTTCTAGACACTATTTTTATTCTTCACTAAATATTTTCCATAAAATATTGCTAATTATGTTTATCATGCTCTAGAAATAGTCACTAACTAAAGTTTAACTTTATTGTGTTTTAAATTCCAAGTGATCAACTTTTTTAACATTTCTATTGTTTTTATCCTAAACTTGCTTACAGGGAAACTGGACAGTTGTAACAGAAAATAATACAAAATAGAATAATAGAAAAATAATAGAAGTTTTTATCTATTTAAGGCTGGAATCTGCTGTATTCCCCAGACATCTGGTAAACACAAGTGATCCTCTGGCCTCAGCCTCCCCAATGGCCAGTCTACATGCATGTGCCACCATGCCTGGCTGGAACCAAAAGTTTTGAGTTCCTCGCCTGATGAGTGCCATTAACAAAAGTAAATATGTTAATATCTGGGACATATCCATTTAGTTATGGCTATTTCTTTAAAAAATATTTTGTTTTAGTTGTAGTTAGATACAATTCCTTTATTTTACTTTTATGTGGTGCTAAGGATCAAACCCAGCACCCCGCACGTGCTAGGTGAGCGCTCTACTGCTAAGCCACAACCCCAGCCCAGTTATGGCTACTTCTAATGCAGTTAAAATTGGAGAGAAAAATCTAAATGGGCCTCACAGGGTGGTTCACACATGCAATTTCTGCTACTTGGCTGCCTGAAGCAGGAGCATCTTGAGTTCAAGGCCAAATTGGGCAATTTAGTAAGACCCTGACTCAAAAATAAGAAAGGCTCAGGATGTAGCTCAGTGTGCAAGGCCCTGGGTTCAATTCCCAGTACTACCACATCCCACCCACCCCCCAAATAAATATAAACAGAATTGTAGGCTTTTGTCAGTTTTTAAATATTCTTATTTCATTATGTTCAGTAACTTGAGGTCATTTGGTTAACTGGGATAATGGATAGGTAAATAATTTCAATAAACTAGTGTGTATTATTTTTCTTGTATAATCCTTTTTAAAAATATATATATATATTTCCCCCAAAGCATTATCATTCCTGTATGACTTTCACAACAATGCTATGAGGTTGATGACTTTATTTCATTCGTTCAATATATATTTTTTGAGCATTCATGACATGCCAAGTGCTGTTGTAGGTACTAGGGATGCACACCAAACAAAACAGAAAAAAACATTCTTGCCCTTAGGAATTTGTTTTAGTGGGAGGAGACAAAAGATTATCCCTTAAAAATTTTTATAGGTATCTTGTTAGGTGTGGTGGTGCATGCCTGTAATCCCAGCAGTTTGGGAGGCTGAGGCTGGAGGATTGTGGATTCAAAGCCAGCCTCAGCAATTTAGCTAAGCCCTAAGCAACTCAGCAAGACCCTGTCTCTAAATAAAATACAGAAAAGGGCTGGGGATATGGCTTAAGTTAAGTGCCCCTGAGTCAATCCCCACCAAAAAAAATAAAATAAAATAAAAATATATATACACACACAAAAAAAATATACATACACACACATACATATATATAGTTATAGGCATAAAAACAAGTACTGAAAGTACATAGAACAAAATTAAAATGGCATAAAAAGAGTCTGTAGTGAAAGCAGGTCTCCCTACTATTATTCTCTCCTATCCTCTCAGATTTCTTGCCTAACAGATATCCTGCCAAGTTTCCCAACTACTATTACCAGTTTATTTTATATCCTTATAGAGATATTCTAGAAATATATAATCATACTTGTAATTATACTTTTTCTCCCCACCCCCCAAACTTGGATGGCAACTTTCAATATATACTGTTCTTTGATTTTTTTTTCTCACTGAACATTTATGTTGAAGATTATTCTGTATAAAGCTACTTCTTTCTTTTTAATGGCTACCTAGTTTTCCAACATAGAGCTGACCCATAATTTGATTTACCTTCTCTTGCTAAATATATACATTTAGGTTGTTTGTAGAATTCTACTGTTTCACAAATATCTTATAAAGGTAGCATTTTGACTACATTCAAGTATTTATTCAGATACCTTTATGAAAATGAAATTGCAAAGCGAAAGGGTACATATATGTGTTGTTTTTTGATAGATATACTGAAATTGTTCTCCATAGTATTGTACCAATTTATACTCCTATCAGAAATAAGTAAAAGTGCTTATTTTCTCCTACCAATCATAGGTGTTATTAAGTTTTCTATATCAGTTACTTAACATAAGGCTTAAAGAGATTAAAAAAGAATCACTTTATAAACTATTGTTTACTTGATTTTTCTTAATGTTATTCTTATGCATATTATCATTTTTCTGTGTTAAGAAATAACTTATGTTTAAAGTTCTTAAATACTGAATTTGCATATGCAAAACAGTTTTTGACTACCTTTTTTTCCATATTGATTTGCTCTAGCCAAGGCCTTTCTATAGGTGGTATAGAGGACTTAAAAAAAAAAAAGTATATTTGAGAAATTACGAATTAACAATGGCTAGATTAACAGGTTTTTATCATATTAGAAAGTGAAACAACAGATGGTATTAGTCTGTTGTATACTGTAAATGCTGTCCCTCCCTTTTTTGAGAGACAGTTACTAGTTTGTTTTTCTGACCTAAGTGCCATTTAAGGTTTTTGAGATATGAAGCATTAGAAATGGGTTAATGTAAGTATTAGGACCTGAGTAGGCTTTGGTTATATTGGTCAAATGTTGAAGGAAAATATTAACTATTTCTAAGGAAATCCTATATCAAGTGTTTTAGTATGCTTCAAAGCACACATTCATTAAGACATTCAAACTATTACAATATTGTCCTTGTTGCTATTAGCAATAAACATAGTATTTGGAGGTAAAACAGAAGTATGATTGACACATAGATGTTTATAGTGGGATAGTAGAACCCAGTGGTTAAAAGCATGGGATTTGGAGTAAGAAAACCCTGGATTCACTAGCTGTGTTCTTTCCTAAGCTGCTGTTTCTTCACATATAAAACAAATTAATACTAGTCCCTAACATCCTTGGGTTTCCGAGGATTAAAAAAGTTAATGTATGTAAGAGAATGACTTAGTGCCTCGAATGCAGTAAGTACTGAAACAAATGGAGAGTCCTAGGATCGTAACCAAGCATTCTGATTATTGGCTGAGATCAGGCCTTTCTTTATGGGAAGCCAACAGCCACAGTAGGAAAACCCTGAAGGTCGGTCGGCATGTAGCTGGAAACATTGAAATGCATCCTCCATTTAACCTTTACTCATCCTCTGGTTTTTATTGTAGATAAAAAATAGAACATTTTTTGTTTGTTTGTTTGTTTCAGGATTTAATTTTTACAGTTTCCATGCCTATTTTAAACAGAGCTATGATTTTGTTTTGTTTTATTCAGTACTGGGATTGAACTCAGGATTGCTGTGCCCAGCCCTTTTTTAAAATTTTGAGACAGGTTCTCAATTTAATGACCCTACCTTAAGATAAAAAATGAAAAATAAGGACCCTTCCTAGGGCCCCTTCTTCCTTCTAAAATAATCTCCCAGTTTCACTCATATTTATGAGACTAATGCTTTTGTTTATTTAAGATGGTATTAACAAATACCACAAATAAATAATGCCGAAAGTAAAAAAGAATATCTGTTGGTAACCTGAATGATCTCTAAGGACACAGAGCAGTATCTAAATCACACTTTGAAAGCCACTGCTACAGAGGTCAGGGGCCATGGCTCACTAGTAGAGCACTTACCTGGCTTGCATGAGGCTCTAGGTTTGAATTCCCAGCCCCACAAACTAAATAAATAAATAAGTAAATTGGTATAAACAAGCTGACGCGTAGGATCTTTAGTATGGTTTCCTTCATATTATTTTGTCTATGTACTTCTAATCCCTTGTAAACAAAGCTATTAAGTTAGGTAAAGAAATTAGATCCTATAGTTCTAAATAATGTATAAGCAATTTTCTTCCTGAAAATGTTTATCTTACCACAAAGCATGAAAGTGTTAAAAGATTTCAGAAAAAAATTGTTTTCATTATTTTGAGGTACTTAAAACAATCAGAAAATTAGGCATAAACAAAATTATTTTGTTCATTTTTGCAGGTGTCCCATGGAATTTTACATTCAACGTAAAGTTTTATCCACCTGATCCAGCACAGTTAACAGAGGACATAACAAGGTAAATAATTAATCTATAGTTAAATTTGTAACAGTAATTGTCATAATCATTAACTCTGGAAATTTTCCTACTCAGAATTGAAGAAAAGTGATAAGATGTTAAATGAGTAGCCTAAGATAAAAAGTTTCTAGCCACTTTAAGGCAGATTTGCAAATAAGGGAGCTAAAAAGCTTCAAGTTTCTGATCTGCTTTGGAAGAAACTGATAGAGGAACTAGTAGCCTTGCTTGTTTTGACAATATGCCAAGCAGTGGGCAGGGCTCCTGTAAGTCATATTACATGAATGGACTGGTGAGTGGCTCCGCTGGGTCTTTTTTTTTTTTTTTTTTTTTAATTGCTTTTATTTTTTAAATACATGACAGTGGAATGCATCACAATTCTTATTACACATATAGAACACAATTTGTCTTATCTCTGTTTATATATAAAGTATGTTCATACCAATTCATGTCTTCTGCTGGGTCTTTTTTGTTTTCCTTCCCCTTCATACTTATCTCCCACTGTGTTCCTTCCTATAGGGATCAAAAAGAAACTAAAATCTCAGGGTTATTATAGATTCTTTCTATCTCCTGTTTAGAATATGTGATTAGGCCCATGATCCTCAGGAATTGAATTCTCCTTTGGGCCTACTTAATTTATAAAATAATCTTCTATTCTTTGAAAACAACCTAATGATTTCTTTTAAGAAAATTACTTTTGTCAAGCACAATGGCATATGCCTGTAATTCCAGCCTCTCAGGAGGCTGAGGTAGGAGGAACACAAGTTTAAGGCAGGTCTCAAACTTGCAATCTTCCTACCTCAGCCTCCTGAGTTGCTAGGATTACAGGCATATGCCACCACACCAGCAAGTTTATATCATTTTTTAAGATGGCTTTGCTGTCCATTCATCTTTAACACATTCTTTTTTTTTTTTTTAAGTTGTGGACAGACACATGCCTTTTATTTATTTATTTTATGTGGTGCTGAGGATCAACATGCTCATCACACATGCTAGGCACATGCTCTACCACTGAGGTACAACCTCAGCAACCTCAGCCCCTTTAGTACATTCTTTTTTTTTTTTTTTAATATTTTTTAGTTGTCAGTGGACCTTTATTTTATTTATTTATATGAGGTGCTGAGAATTGAACCCAGTGCCTCACACGTGCTAGGCAAATGCTCTACCACTGAGCCACCACCCCAGCCCCTTTTAGTATATTCTTAAAGCTGAGATGCCATCTCTCCCCAATAAAACTGTTTCTTTTTCACAGATAATGTTTGTCTCTTAGAGTTGCTACTTAATCATCTTTCTTCATCCATTCTTATTCTGTAAAGCAGAATATATCCCTAAAAACCTTTGCTAATTTCCTGCACTTTAAAGGAGTTTAAGATTCTTGTGACTTATTCAGTGTTTCCGTGACTTAAAAAAAAAAAAAAATGTCAGGCATGGTCGTGCACCACACCAGTAATTCTAACTATATAATAGGCTAAGGCAGGAGGATTGTAAATTCAAGGGCAGCCTGGACAACATGGTGTTACTCCATTTCAGAAAAATAAACAATCCCCCATAAATGTAGCAACTAATTGTAGATAGCAAAAATTATTGTTGATACATATATTATGTATCAATATTATGGTTTAAAAAAAAGAATATGTTCTAATTAATGTAGGAGTTGTCAATTTCATCATACCTTCTTGTTCTATAGAACTGTCTGAATTGGTTAACTCAATTAACATGTGGTAAGGAGGTCAGGATCACACTGATAGAAACAAGTGTCTGTATGTGATAGGGCACTCAGTTGTTAGTTGAACTGGCTGTTTAGCTGCAGTTTGAATTACCAACAATTTAGCACACAGGGGGAATTGGTCTTATAAGGTGGCTGATAGGCTACATGGCATACAGCCTTCTACATTCTATCTGGGAGCGAAAACACACCAGAATGTTTATATCCTAGCAAAAATGTGTCAACATTGCGATCTTTGTTCTTGAAGGACAGTATCTACACATTTGTCAAAGGAAAGTGATAGAAAAGAAAGGACCTGGTTTTGGACCAAACATTTTATTACTAACATTGAGCCAGCTAAGCCTCTAAGGCTGCCTCTCTCTATATACTCTTGCAGTCATACTCACCTCACAAATTCTTTGAAGATTAAATAGTTTACGTGTATGGTACTTCATATCCTACACTACCTAGATTGCCCACTACTTAGATGGAACAATTATTAATATGATCTCATATTTACTTAATCTCTTCTCTCTTATTTTTCTTCTCTCCCTCTCCCTATTATCCTTTTTGTCCCTCTATATTTTGTCATGACTGACATATTAACATTTTTCTCTTTTGGCTATAGATATTATTTATGTCTTCAGCTTCGACAGGACATTGTTGCAGGACGTCTGCCCTGTTCCTTTGCAACCTTAGCATTATTGGGTTCTTACACCATCCAGTCTGAACTGGGAGACTACGATCCAGAACTCCATGGTGTGGATTATGTTAGTGATTTTCATCTGGCCCCAAATCAGACCAAGGAACTTGAAGAGAAGGTCATGGAACTGCATAAATCATACAGGTGACTGGGTCTCCAGAGTTTATTCTGTTTGTTTGGTAATAAGTTTAAACCCTTGACCTGGTATTGAATCAGCGTTAAAAGGGAGCATGCTGCCACAGAAAGAGTTGGTGAAGAGCTAATTTCCCTCTACTGTTTGACTTTGAGCAAGTCCCTTTAAGTCCTCTGAACCTCAGTTTTCTTACTATAGTAATGGGCATTGTATTGCAGAATGAAAACTAAATGAGGTATCATAGATAAAGCACTTAGCACAGAGCTAGATGTGTAGTAGGTACTCAATAAATGGTAGCTATTAGTCTTACAGGTGTTTTTTTTTTTTTTTCTTTTTCCTTCAGATTTTAACTTACCATGCTGTAGTAGCTCCTTAGAGCAAGAGTTTTAAACTTGGAATGTATGTATGTGGATAGATTATGGAGGGCCCATGAAACTCCTGCAGTTATCTTTAAAAGTCTTCGTTGAATTCACCAACTATTCTGCTATTTATTTTTTCATGAAAATAATGTGTAACATTGGGAAGTATTGTAGCATAGTGCTCAAAAGCAAGGGCATATAGTTCATCTGAGCTAGGTTGAAATTATTTGCCTAGTGAGTATCAGGCCCTCGGTTCAATCCCTAGTATCATTAAAAAAGAAATTACAAAAAACTGCTATTGTGAGTTTTGATATACCATAAAAGAAGAATTTTAAATTCTCAATCCTTCATTGTCATTTTTCACAAAAGTTATCAATGTTAAAAATAATGGACTATTATTCTTTAGATATTTAATAAAAATTTTGTAATATAGTTAATTTGTAATAGTTAATACTGATAGATATAAGCACATAAAGAATAGTATTTCAGAGTCCTTAATAATTAAGAGAGTAAAGAGTTATTAATGCCAAAAAAGTTTGAGAACCACTGAGTTGGACTGTAGAGCACATAGTTAAAATCACTAGCTCTGGAGTGAGCCTGTTTTACTTCGGATTCGGATTCCATTCCTTATCAGGTTTATGACTCTTGGTAAGTTACTTAAGCCTTCTAAGCTTCAGTTTTCTCATCTGAAACCAGGATGATAATAGAAATTTTATAATTGTTTAAATCAGAAAAGTCATGAGAAGTACTCAGCACAGTTATTAGTAGACCTCTCATGTCATATATTTGCTAGGATAATAAAAATAATAATCCTTATCCTCATTTTACAAGCAATGTGCATCTGGGTTTGGAGAACCACTCACAGAACTTAATAGAATTTTAAACTCAAATAGATGGAACAATCTCACTGGACAGGTGGATATGATCAGTTGATGTTCAGTTAGGTATATGAAAAAAAGTCATGGAATGTACTTGCTCCATTTTGGAAATTTTCGTAGCCCTCACAAGCAGAAACGCAAATGGGAAATTTAATTATGTCCAGCAACATGGTGCTTTAACCACTCCAAAGAAACTTCTGCTGAGACATAAGCACTTTACTGTGTATTGAAGCGATTACCAGCCTGCTCCTCAGACAAGTAGAAGAAGGCCTTGTAAGTGGAACCTGTAGTAGTGGCCCTTTGCCCAGACAGGGATTTTAAAGCTATAATTAACTCTTTAAATTAACACTAGCAAATCAAGCTTTAAAATTAATTGTCCTCCACTTCATTGTCCCCACTTAATTATTTGAAATCACAATACTTAATTAGGAGATGCAACAAACATTATCAAAAGACTGTCACTTAACACCAGAACTCATTGCATGACTCTCCTGACCCCACTTGCTTGAAATAAATAAATACAGGGAAACTGTGCTGAAACTTCTCTTTGTAATGAGCAAGAGCTAATCTTTTTAAAGTGCCAGAGCACCCTGGGTAGGTACTTTAAGCTGAAGTACTCATAAGTAGTAACTTGTTAGGTGGTACTGAATAACTCTGGACAATACTTTTTTTAAAGTGGGATGGAAGGGAGTACTGGGTACTGGGATCGAATGTGGGCACTTGTGCACTCTACCACTCAGCTATACCTGTTGCCATTTTTATTTTTAATTTTCAGAAAGGGTTTTGCTAAGTTGCCCAGGCTGGCCTGGAATTTGTGATCCTCCTGTCTCAGCCTCCTGAGTAGCTGGGATAGGCATGTACCACTGAACTCAGCTGGACAGTACTCAGTTCCCAGCTTGTTATGATTTTCAAAGGTCTTAGGGAATCCATATGTGTGAAGCAGGCCAGAATGGGGAATTCTGTCCAGACAGAATAAGGGGTGCATCTATAAGGGGAAGGGGTTACTGACAGCAATGAGAGTTGATAAAAGGAAATACAAATTATGAAAAGAGAGAAATTAAACTGAACCCTGGGGTATTGTGAATATAGGGAAGTTTTTTTGTCATGATTGCTTCATTTAATGTTTAAAATTGATCTTCAACTTTAACTGATCCAAATTATTTCTCTCAATTTAATTTTATAATCCATGTAGAGATGGGATACTATACTATTAGAAAATGAAGGTTGCAAAATAATAAATAAATAGTTTACAAAGCAGTTTCACAGCCATTATATTATTTAATTCTAATAGTCACATTTATTTATCTAACAAAATTAATGTGATTCTTACCTTATAGAGGAGATTGAGGGAGACAATGGCTTACCACCCATAAATTCAGGAACCAGGATTCTAGCCCAAATAGTGTGACTTGAGTCATGACTTAAGCCTGCTGCTTCAAACCAAGTGTTTCAGCCTATTCATAATCATGCAATCCTTCAGGGTCTGTTTTCTTTATCAGCAAAATGAAAGTGTTGAACTCATTACCTTCAAGTTCCTTTCCAGCTTCAAACTCCAGAAATTCACCCCATTAGTATTAATAATAACAGTAAAATATAAAACAACTGGGAGTACCTTAACTAGAAAAGTGTATCACTTATATGGAAAAGTAATTTACAATTACAAAACTTTTCTGAGATATTTTGAATTACTTGAATATATAGACTTTTATATGGGTTAATTTTCCCATTTTTTTTTGTTTTTGTTTTTGTTTTTGTTTTTTTAATCTTCAACTTTAGGTCTATTAGTGAACAGAATTAGGTGAGATGCTTTAGAGCTTGTAGAAAAAAGTTTATTTAGGAAGGCTGAGTTAAAAAAAATCTGCATCCTTCTCTCCTGTGTGTTTTCTTTTTTGGTTGTTGTTGTTCCAATGAATCCTTTGTTCTTTTTAATGAGGGTAAAGACAGATGGGTTTGGAAGAGACTTTTCCTTGTTAAATGAAGAGACCCCTGCTGCTCTCTGTAGCTTGAGGCAGTCTTATGGGAAACTGGCATTTTCTTTTCTTTTCTTTCTTTCTTTCTTTTTTTTTTTTTTTTATTGTTACTAAGAAGTTACTCTTGATTGGTGTGAATTGTGCAGGGTTGGGAATGATATCTTTGTCTTCAAATCTCAGTGAGCACTTTCCAAAAGCAAAGAAACTTCTGGAGAAGGAAAGACCCGATGTTTACACAGTGAATGTTTAGACCGTGAGACTGATTGTTTTCAAACAAATCTAATTCATTATTTGCCTGGTAATGAAGACATCTTAATAACAGAAAACAGTCCCATTATCTGTGTGCTTCTATTAACCAATTTATTTTGTTTAGATCCGTGGGCAGAACACCATCTGTTACCAGAAATTTTCTTTTCATTAAACCTGGCCCCATTAAGAGTCCCAGTTAAGTAACATCAGCTGCCCTCTTGTTTAATTTCCATAATAACTCAATTCAGGAGTATAGAGGGAAAAAAGGCAGCTAAGAGGATCTTGTAAATTGTCCCATGCCCCTTGAGGATTTAATTTGGTCATCTCCTTGGCAAAAAAATTAGTGGAAGGAATTTATGTATAGGATAGAAAAGGATGAAGAGAGGGAGGACAGAGCTAATGATGGATGAGGTCATTTGAAGGAAATTGTAGGGAGTTTAAAAATTTTTTTTCCAGTATTTTTTTAGTGTCTTTTTGTTTTCTCAAGATATCATTTTCTTTATGAAAACATTTCCATTCTATAATAATCCACTTATGGACTATAAAATTTATTTTGTATACATATTGGTCGACATGTGTATGATTGTGTTTATATGAAGTGTCATGAAGATACAACTGTGATTACTGTAAATGTGGATACTATGACACTGAATTTTTATTTTTATTTTATCAAAGGTCCATGACTCCAGCTCAGGCTGACTTGGAATTTCTTGAGAATGCCAAAAAGTTGTCTATGTATGGTGTCGATCTGCATAAAGCAAAGGTAATGTATCTCTGGCCTTTATTAATATGCACTAGATGATGCAGGTTTGCTATGTGTAAATTGCACTTGTGTTACTTTTCACCAGCATTTATCTGGGCTATTTTAAAACATTCAAAATAAATAGTAATTCTTTTTTTTTAAGTTGTTGATAGACCTTTATTTTATTTATTTATATGCAGTGCTGAGAATTGAACCCAGTGCCTCACACATGCCTGGCAAGTGCGCTACCGCTGAGCCCCAGCCCTAGCCCCAAATAGTAATTCTTTTTTAATTTTAAGTATATCAGTTGAATTGCCACTTGGCAATCCACTGTCAGAAAAAAGTTTTACAACTAAGCCACTGTAAAAAATAAAAAAATACAACCTAGAGAAAAAGAAATTATATTTTCCTAAAATGCATTTACATTTGAAAATCACAGTGGCAGCAAGGCTTTTCTCACAGCCAACATCACCTAAATCACTTGAGAGGTCTACTAATTGTACAGATTCCAGAGCTTCTCTCAGATTTACTGACTTATTTCAGAGGACAGGCTCTAGAATCTCCAGATTTAATGAGCATTCCAAATGAATCTAATACAAGCTTGAACCTGAGAACTACTGGCTTAGGGTAATGGTTCTCAAAGTGTGGTCCCTGAGTCAGCAGCATTTAGCATCACAGATGCATTTTTCAGGTTCCATTCCAGACTTATTGAACCAGAAGCTGGGATGGAGATTCTAATGTACTCCGAATACACTACAGTGGCTCATTGAGAATTCCTAGGTTAGGGCATTGGAAACTTAAACTTTAATCCTACTTCTGCCTAATACAGCCTAAGAGAAGGATTACTTAAGGCAATCGCTTGACTTCCCTCATCTTCAAATGGCTGGAGAGGTTGAGGATATCATGAAAGAGAGGGCTCAAAGGGATGCTCAGATGCTCCTTTGGAGGAACTTAACTAGTGTGCATGATCAGGAGACTCTAAACCATGTCCAATGAAAAACAAAGGAACAAGGATATTAATCCTACAAAAGAGAAAGTTCTGGGAAGACATAATATCTACCTTCCTGTTAATTTAAAGAGGTGATGTGTAAAATAGATTTTACTATGGCTTTAAGATATAAGCCTAGAGATAGTAAAATGTAAACTATAGGGAAATATGTTGTTCAGTTCAGTTTGACAAATTATCTAGCAGAGCTTTTCAAAGATGAGATGGGCTATCTCAAAGAGTGATGAGTTCCCTGTCATTGAAGTTATACCAGGATAGGCCAAATAATCACTTGGTAGGAATTAAGAAAAGAGACAGACATCTGGTCTGTGATTTGACTAGACTAATCTTTCATGATTTTCTCAAACTGAATATCGATAGTTTCTTAAGTTCAATTACTTCTAATTTCAAATTCAGATGTTGTCCTGGTTTTTGGGGGGCTGGGTACTATAACTTCTGTGAATTTCTAAAATAGACAATGGAAATATCAGTATTTCAGATAAGGTATATTTCCAGAACTTCTCATTTCCTGCAAAAGGTTTGTGTCAGTCAGCAAGGTGTGAAGAAGTCAGGCAGCAAATTCCTTTTCCAAATGTTGTAAAGCAACTGTTTCTGTAAAGCGTGTCATTAAAAGAGAGATATAGGGCTGGGGCTGGGGCTCGGGCTCAGCGGTAGCGCACATGCCTGGCATGTGTGAGGCACTGGTTTCGATTCTCAGCACTGTATATACATAAATAAAATAAAAGTCTATCAACAACTAAAAAAATATTAAAAAAAAAAAAAAAGAGAGAGAAAGATAGTTGTACCTCCAGGCTTTAAAAACTTAAGAGGGCATCTTGAGGTAAATTTTCAGTCACATAGTCATTGAATTAAAACTATATTCAATTTCTGCATCTCTGTTATGCTTGTACATAACACATGTAGGCACTAACATTTTTCTCTATACTCATTGTAGGAAAAAGAGGAATCAAAAAGCTTTAACTCTAACCAGGCGCAGTGGCTCACGCCTGTAATCCCAGCGGCTTGAGAGGCTGAGGCAGGAGCATCATGAGTTCGAAAGCCAGCCTCAGCAAAAGTGAGGCGCTAAGCAACTCAGTGAGACCCTGTCTCTAAATAAAATACAAAAATAGGGCTGGGAATGTGGCTCAGTGATTGAGTGCCCCTGAGTTCAATGCCCGTTCAATGCCCGGTACCCCTACCCGCACCCTTCAAAAGAATTTAACCCTGGGTTTTGATTATTTAGCTAAATATAGCCATCTGTAGAAATTAACTCAGATGAAATTCATTTTCCTTGAATTACATTGATTATTAATATTTAAAATTTTTTCTTTAATAAAGAGGCATGTAAACATGACTTCATTTTGCCTTAATGTTCTTTCTAGCCTTAGGGATAATATTTATAATTTAATATACTTAACATCAGTTATTTTAAGAAGCTGAGATTTTCGTATGTTGAGTTTATACAGGAATAGAGTCAAATCTTAACTTGATTTTCTGGAGGGATTACCACTGTATCATTTCAAAAGAGAATTAGAATTGTGCAAACATGTCGTTAAGAGAGAGAGAGTTATATCCCCAGGTGGTACACGTAGCCCTAAACTCTGGCCTCTGGGAACTCTTATCTGTCAATATGGATTATGATTGTCAGGTTACACTTTATTTTCCATGATATGTTTCATAACTGTTTCTGGTTGCCAATATCTTCAGATTATCTGATAATAGTGAATGATGTGTTGAACACTTTGCTCGAGACTGAATGCTGACACTTTTCTTTTTCAGGACTTGGAGGGAGTGGATATCATCCTAGGTGTCTGCTCTAGTGGCCTTTTGGTTTACAAAGATAAGTTGAGAATTAACCGTTTTCCTTGGCCCAAAGTACTGAAGATTTCTTATAAACGCAGCAGCTTTTTCATCAAGATCCGGCCTGGAGAGGTATAGAATTCATGTTTTTTCTTCCTAAACCAAACATCTCCTCATTGCCATTTTCCTTGTTATGCCATCGGAGTAGTCTCTGTCTAATTAACTAGTCGGGGGCCAATATTTCTGTTTTCTTAAATTGTTAAGTCCTGTAATCTTCTTTTCTTATTACTGGTTTTCCAGACATTCTTATTCCTGTAAGTAAATATTCCATTGCCAAAAGTAAAACCTGGATTGGTAAACTTGTTTCTTGTTTACTCCAGGTAAGAACTTCATGGGAAACTATTTATAAATTCTGTAGCTTGAGATTCTAAAATTACTTTGTGGAGTTAAATGTTTTATATCCTACCTTCTACAATTACAATTTATTTGTGTATATATACATATGTTACTATATGTTTCAGGGTCAAGTTCTAGATTATTTTTATTTACTACTAGGGATTGAACCCAGGGCCTGATGCATAAGTCCTAGATTTTTAATAGAGTTGTATGTTCAGCTTAATACTGGATCAACTTAGTTAATAATAGGTAGCCAAAATTCAGGATGTACTGATTGATGCAGGCCAATTTTAAATTGTAAAAGAGCTATCGTGGTGCAATAGCAATTGTTTAAGTAGGAATTAAAATTTTTTTAAAAAAGTTCTAGTTCCTTCTCTGCCACTTGCTTAACAAAAGACCCTGGATAAATCTAAGGCTCTTTCCTTATCATCCAAGAAGGATAATACCTCCTCAATCCCAGTTTATTTGAACATCAAATGAGAAAACAGTGAAAACTCAACACAGAAAAGGACCAGCCTGACATAAGGTCGCTTTTTGTATGTTTATATATCACCACCTGCTGGCGAAAAATAGCTCACTCTTTGAGCCTGGAAATTGTAGACATGCAGCCTTAAAAATCTTGGGTAGGGATTATCATTGAAGCATTTATTTTGTATTATAATTATTTATCTGTGCCTAGCACAAAGCAGCCAATGTCTTCCCTTGAAGTTTCAAATCCAAGAGTCAGTCAACCAACAAATATTTATTAGGGCTTTCTTTGCAATTTAATGGTAAATAAGACAACATTCTTTTATCTTAATGTGGGAAAACAAAACTAAATACACACATATATTAATAAATATGATAATAGGAAGGCCTCAGTCTCTGTCAACTATGTGCTGAAAATGCAGAATTCCTATTTAAGAAAGCAATCAGGAAAAACGGGATTCTGGAAGTGGAATATAACTATTGTTGACTTAGAAGTGACATTCTGGTTCTGCCATTTAATAACTATGAGACTGAGCAAATTACTTCTCTGAACTCAGTTTCTTCAGTGTAAAAATTGATCCTGTCTAATCATAGTTTTATTGGCAATGATAGGCACTGAAAACAAATTTCACTTTCCTTTTCTATCTAATAAAGTATGCTTAAGGGAGAAACAGAGAAGTAAGAGACCAATAACATGTTTCTTGTAGCCCTGGTAGGATATGGTTTGCTTCAGTTAGAAGTATCTAGATAAATTAAAGGTCAGAAAAAGGGAAAAAGAATAAACATTTAATAATTAGAGAATCTGGAGAATAAGCTTAAGAGTCCAATTATACAACAAAATCATCATAGTTCAGTGTATTATCTTCTTGAAAATTGCTGAGAGATGACTAGCATGCATGAGGCCCTGGGTTCAATACCAGCACAAACAAAAAAATTAAAATATTGTTAATAGATTAGATTTTAAGGGTTCTCATCACAAAAAATTATGTGAGTTAATTCATATATTGATAGCCTGATTTAGCATGTTCAATATTTGCATACTGAACACAATAAATATATACAATTTTTATTTGCCAATTCTAAAATTTAATTAATTTTTAAAAATTAATCTGATTTGAGCCAAATCTTTAGTTATTATTACTAATTATTATTGTGTAATAATATTGATTGATGGAAGAATTATTTTATATCTCATCCTCTTATCTTTGAATAATCTAATATCCCAAATACAGATAATAACTAAGGAAAAGCAATGTCTAGACAATCAAAATGTGACTTAATTATGTCTCAGAAAAATGCCCTGTGTTTGTGTGTATATGCATGCATGTGTGTTTTCTGAACAAAAATAAAATGCATGAATAATATGCATTTCTTGGCTTCCTTGCTTTTGAAAAGGACATCCTCAGGAGTGACTTTCTTCTGGTGAGTAGGAAAACATTTCAAATGATATTTTATGTCCTTAAATTGATAACATTATTTGATTTTACAATGATCTCGTTGGTGGCACCATATTTCTCTGGTGCTGTATTACTATAGTCAAATGATACTTTATGTTCCATGTTTGTGTTTCTATAGCAAGAACAATACGAAAGTACCATTGGATTCAAACTTCCCAGTTACCGAGCAGCTAAGAAATTATGGAAAGTCTGTGTAGAACATCACACATTTTTCAGGTATTGTTCTCACTTAAGTATTTTTCAAGGATAAATTATGTATGTGTTTTTCTATTTTAAGTCTGCTATTGAAATTCTCTCCTTTATATGACTGGCACTTTTGTTTAGCTCTAGTGAGATCATCTTAAGCAAGACAAAATGAATCCACTTTCCCTGCTCTGGGTTGAAAAGCGTGCCTCAACATTTCCAAAGCACCTTTCTTTGTGTGGTAGGAGGAGGAGGGAAGTGGAGAATAGGATCCTGTGTTCACTGGGTGCTCTATGATTGCCCTAACTGTAGCTAACAGTCCTGGGCTTGGCCTTTGTTACTGCCCAGTCCCTTAACAGATATGTGACCTTATACATATAACTTCCTTTGGGTGGTTCAGTTTCTTGTATCTATAAAATGGTGACAATATTACAAAGACACAGAGAAATTATTGCAGTGAAAACCATAAGGCCCTATCTATAGAGATATAAGATGATATTAATGAAGGCAACAACTAAATATACTGATTGCTTTGAGACATGACATGGAACTGAAATAATGATTGCATGATTTGAAATCTCCTAATAACTATAATTATATCTTAAAATTGAGAAACATTTTTTATTCTTGATCTTATTTTTAATTGTACAGTTTCAGAATGAGATAATTTATATAATATGTGATTGTTATGATTTTTCTCTCAGACTGACATCTACAGACACCATTCCCAAAAGCAAATTTCTTGCCCTGGGATCCAAATTTCGATATAGCGGCCGGACTCAAGCTCAGACCAGGCAAGCTAGTGCTCTGATTGACAGGCCTGCCCCACACTTCGAGCGCACAGCAAGCAAACGGGCATCCCGGAGTCTCGATGGAGGTCTGTATTGAATACTAATGATTTCTTGTGATCCTAGTTCCTTAGAGAGAGATAAAGGAAGCACAGTTATCTATAAGAGAACCAAATTATCTCAGGTGCGCACAAATTCTTAGTGGTGGAATGGATGGTATCCTACTAATCGTCTATTTCAGTGGACGAATCTTAAGAAAAGGGGACTGCGATTCAGAGAGAATAGTGACTAGATCAGGATTTCACTGCTAGATAGTGATAGAGTGGGTGAAGGCAGGGAGGATTGAGGACCTATTTCAGATTGGGCAGTTCAATCTAAATTTAGAAGGTTCCCCTGAAGAGTATCATTTGAGACCTGAATTATGAGAAGTAGCCAGCCCGCCCAAAATCTAGGGGAAGAACATTCCACAAAAAGGAGAGGCAAGTACAAAGTGCTGCAAGTAGGAATGAGGCTGGTGTGTCCAGATCAGTGATGCCCCACAGAACTTTTTTTGCTGATGAAAATTCTATTAGTCACCTCTGTCCCTGTGATAAAATACCTGACAGAGAGGTTAAGGTGTATTTTGGCTCAGGTTTCAGTCCAAGGGTGGGCTGGCTTCATTATTTTGGGCCTGAGGTGAGGCAAACTGTCATGGTGGTGAGAATGTGTGGCCTTGCTCACCTCATGGCAGCCTGGAGCAGAGAGAAGGGAGCCTGGGACAAAATATAGCTTTCAAAGGCATGCCCCCATTGACCCACCTCCTCCAACCTAGGTCCTACCTTCTGAAGTTTCTATCACCTTCCATTAGTACCAACCAGCAGGAGACCAGAGCTTCAATACCTGGGCCTTTGGGGGACATTCCCGATATAAAGCATAACAGAAATCTTCTATTTTGTGATGTCCAACGTGGCCATTAAGAACTTGAAATGTGGGGCTAAGGTTTGGCCTAGCACATGTGAGGCACTGGGTTCCATTCTCAGCACCTCATTATAAATAAATAAATAAATAAAATAAAGGTACTATGTCTAACTACAACTCAAAAAAAAAATAATATGTGTGTGTGTGTGTGTATATATATAATATATATGAACTTGAAATGTAACTATGCAACTGAGGAACCAAATTTTAATTAGATATAAATTTAAATAGCCACATGTGGTTAGTAGCTCTCATATTGGAAGCACAGGTCTAGATTCTAGTAAACAAAGGGAAAAGGAATAGAAGATAAGAATAGTCAGAGAAGTAGGCATGGGCCACACACAGTAGGAGTTTTGATTTTATTTTACTTGCAGAAGGAAGCTTCCAGAGGGAGTGTTATAATTTGAAATCCTTTTTGAACAAGATTACTCAGAACTTGGGGTGAAGACTCCATGGAAGTGAGGGTAGATCCAGAAGCAGGGTGAATGCTGATGCAGGATCTAGGTGAGAAGTTGAGAGCTTGGCCCTGGTACTGGGAACAAAGACAGAGAAAAGTGGTCAGGGATACATCTTGGAGGCAGGGCTGACAGAATTGCTGATAAATACTTGACATGGTAAGGAAAAGAAAACTGAATTTTATTCCTGGGCTTGATCATTTAATGGAATGGGACACACTGGTAGAGGAGCAGAGTCGGGAATATAGAAATCCAAGATTTCTGGCTTGGAGTCACTCAGTCTTGGTGTCTTTGCCATACTCATCTAACACCATCAGGCATCTCCTTCCTTGTCAAGTAAGTCACCTTGTCCAATATTTTCTTCTAAAACTTATGCTGTTTGCATTTCATATTTAGATAAACAATCTATCTGGAATCTTCTTTTAATTTCTTTAATTGCTTTGTTGCTAGGTAGGACAGCCAACGTAATGCTGAATAAAAATTAGTGATTAGCATTCTTGTCTCATTCCCAAACTCAGGGAGAGAGTTGCAGTATTTCATCACTGAGTATGATGTTTGCTCTAGGTTTTGAGTACCTATACTCTATCACATAAGGAAGTTTTTTTTTTTTTTTCATTCCTAGTTTTCTAAAAGTTTTTACCATGAATTAGTATTGACTTTTACCAGATACTTTTTACTTAATTGATATAATAAAGTGATTTTTTTCCTTTTTATGTTATATGTGGATTGCCTTGATTGACCAAGCATTCTTGGATTAAACTCAATTTGGGGGGCTGCGGATATGGCTCAAGTAGTAACACGCTCACCTGGCATGCATGAGGCACTGGGTTCGATCCTCAGCACCACATAAAAATAAAATAAAGATATTGTGTCCACTTAAAGCTAAAAAAATTAATATTTTTAAAAAATAAACTCAATTTGGTCATGATATGGTTTTTATATCATTTTAGAATTTTTACAATTGTAATCAGCTCTCCATACCTTCAGGTTCTGCATCTGTGAAATTATTTGGGAAAAAAACAAAACCAACTTTTTATCTAAGCTGAATGTATTACAGATTTTTTCTTATTATTCCCTAAACAGTACAGTATATATTACATAATACTTAAATTGTATTATGTTTTTTAAATAATGTAGGAATGATTTAAAGAATATGGGGGAAGTATGTATAGGTTACATGCAAATAGTAGGCCATTTTAAGGGACTTGACTCTCCTAGGAGAGTCCTGGAATCAATTTCATATGGATGTTAAGAGATAATAATATTTTCAAAAGAGAAATGGACATATAATTTTTCTTTCTTATAATGTTATGACCAGGTTTTTAAATTTTTTTAGAATGCCTTTATTTTATTTGTTTTTTATTTTTATGTGGTGCTGAGGATAGAACCCATTGCCTCATGCATGCTAGGCATGTGCTCTGCCACTGAGCTACAGCCCTAGCTCATGATCAGGTTTTAATATCACTTTTATGCTGGCCTCATAAAATAAATTGAGGATGGATTCCCACTTTTCCTATTCTCTGGAAGAGTTTGTGTAAGATTAGTGTTATTTCTTCTTTAATATTTGGAAGAATTCACCAATGAAGCTATGTAGTCCTAGTCCTTTACATATCTTTTAAGTATCTGAATTGCATATAAACAGAATAGAGAAAAATTTTATAGTTCTGTTTTCTTTTTCTCTGTGTGGGAGGGTTCTTTACTGGCAGATTTAGTGTCTTTATTAGATAAGAGACTATTACAATGTTCTGGTTCTTATTTCAGTTTTGATAAATTGTGTTTTTCTAGGGATTGTCTATTCCAGCTAATTTTCAAATTTATTGACACAAAGTTGAATATCTTTAATATCTATATGACCTGTAGCAGTGTTTTTGCATTCTAGATATTAGAAAGTTGTACTCCTTTTTTCTCTCCACTTCCCCCACAGTCTTGCTACAGATTCGTTAATTTTTGTTAATCTTTTCAAAGAATTAACATTAGGTTTTATTTCAGTGTGTATTTTAAGTTTAATTTATGCCAGCTCATACCTTTATTATTTGCATTACATTTTCATTGAGCTGTTCTTTCTCTAATCTCTTGAAATATTTATCTGTTGATGTTTGTTGTTCTTACAACTTAACCTGAGAATTTAAGCGACTTGTCTAAGGTCACAAAGATAGTCAGAACTAGAAGTAGGAGCTAGGACTATTCTCCCAAACATGTGCTTTTTACTCTTTCACCATGGTGACACTTTTTCTTTTAAGAAAGGAGAAAGTGGACTGGGGTTGCAGCTAAGTAGAAGAGCACTTGCCTAGCATGTGCGAGGCCCTGGGTTGGACTCTTAGCACCACATAAAAAAATAAACAAAATAAAGCCCATCAATGACTAAAAAATATTAAAAAGAAAGGAAGAAAGGAGAAAGTAAGTAGTTGTTAATAGTATTCATTGAGCATTCAGTATGTTATGGGCACTATTTTAAGCACTTTACATATCTTGTAAGTATTTGAACTGCATATAAACAGAGTAGAGAAAAAAACATTTTTTTAAATTTTTTAGTTGTAGATTGACACAATACCTTTATTTTATTTATTTTTTATGTGGTGCTGAGGATCGAACCCAGTGCCTCATGCATGCTAGGCAAGTGCTCTACCACTGAGCCACAACCCCAACCTTACAGAAAATTTTTATGGTTCTATTTTCATAGATATTCTTTTTTTCTGTGCTATCTTCTTGGAAACTGTTTTGAAACTATTTTTCATACCTTTTCCTAGATCTTTCTCCATCTTTCTTAAAAATTTTTTCCTATTGGGTCCACCCTCCTTTAAAAAAAAATAATATAACCCTCAATAGTAGAAACAATATATTAGGGAAACATTCAGAAAAATTACTTTATAAGGGGCCTCAATTTATGATACAAATGAGCACTCTTTCTCTTCTGTTTTGTCTGGTACTCAGAGCATCTGCTTCACCAGCTGGAGAACAAAACTGGTTCAGATCCCAGTTTTAAGATAGAGTATTAAGTCATAAAGATAGCTAATAATACGACAAGGATTTTTCAGCTTGTTGCACTTTTTGCTTTTCCAACCATTTCCATGTATTCCTATTTAATATTAGCAACCCAGTGAACAAGAGGTATTTAGGAACTCTTATTTTTATTCATGAGAAAACTAGAGCACCAAAAAGTTATGTAACTTACTAGGGTCACACCACCAGATAGTTCATTCTTGCCAAATGGTACTTGCCAGGGAAGTACATTTTTTTCATCTTTGGTACTTTAGTACAAAATATATGTCCAAGCCTCTCTGTTGGATGATCAGTCTGTTTGCAGTGGACCTGAGTATCAGCTGATTTTTGTTTGTTGTTCAAGATCTGTAGATGATTCATGTGGGCCCTCCGATAATGGGACCATTGATCCCCTGTACACCTGCTGAACCTGTATCATACTGGCAGAAATAGTGCCAGTAAGTAGCAGCTAGAAGCTTCCATTTACTCCGTGTGATGGTTTTGAGTTTTACTCTTGATTGCTCTGGTATATAACCAAGTTTCTATTGTTCTCAGCCAAGAGCAATATAATAACTGAAATTGTGGGTCTGTAAGAGTATCGCCATTGTACTTTTCTTTGTCTAGACCTTCAGAAATGGGAACTATTGAATATTTTAACTTAAGGGTTTTCTCGGGGTGAATGTTTTCTCTGGTAAATGAATGCTAATTACAATGGGGAGGGGAGCTTGGGATGAGTGGATAACTTTGGATGGGACAAAGGAGGAGGGGAGAGGACAATGGGGGTAGGAAAGATGGTGGAATGAGATGGATATCATTATCCTAGGTACATGTATAATTGCATGAATGGCATTACTCCACTTCATGTACAACCAGAGAGGTTAAAAATTCTGCTCCATTTGTGTACAGTGAATCGAAGAGCTTTCTACACTCATATATAAACTGATTAGATAGAAAAAAATAAAGTTAAGGGTTTTCTGTATATGTACCAAAATCTTGAATAGTAACAAATTAATTAATAAAACTGAAGAGCCAAAATGTCTTCTTCTTTTTTTTTTTTTTTTTCCTCTCCAGTGCTGGGGATTGAACCTAGGGCCTTACACATGCTGGGCAAGAACTTTACTGAGCTGTATCCTTAGTCTCACACCAAAACATCTCAATAAAGCTGTTTTAAAAATCACCACTATGATATTTTATCATGATCCATAGTTTGCAATCTTCTTATTTAGAAAATGAAAGAAATTTGCCTCTCTTCAGGACTCCCAGGTGATATCTTTGAATTTCATATCAGTATTTGCATAGTTTTTGCCCAACTTACTCTTAAAACATTAACCCATGACAAGAGAAATATAAGGACAAGTATAATGTTAGAAGTTATTAATATTTAGAGTTCATAAAATGTGTTTGTAGCCCTTGAGTACCCCTTCCCCAGCTATCCTATAGAGTTAATATCTTCCACATTTTATGAATGTTAATACTGAGGTTTGAAAAATTAGGTTCCTTGCACTAGGTCACATTACTGTGTGTGACTAACATAAGTTTGGGCTGAAGACTCATGATTTGGTCTTTGCCCTATTCCATACTGCCTTTTCACAATCAGTGCTGTTCATTGTAATGCTTCTATTTTTCCTATTCTTAACTGTTTCCACCTTTGTTTCTAACCCTCAGTCTTTACATTTATACCTACACTTCCACATACAGTACAGATTTCCAAGGCTAGGAATGCTAAAGACAAATCATTTGGCTCTGCAATATTAGTATTGGATTAAAACCAAATTCAAGTGGCAAAATAACACATGGTGAGAGCATGGGCTATGTTTCTGTGATGGCAAGCAGAGTTGAATTAATTCTTTGAGAGGAGGTGTGAATACACATGTATAATGATACTTTAACACAACTGTGAGCAAAATATTTTGTCACATTCCCCTGTTTTGTTAGGCTTGGTCTGCCATCTGCCATTCTTGCGTTGACTGGTTTAGAGCACCCATGTGTATCAGAGACTTGCAAGAGGCCACAGTTTGTTCATTGAGTAATAAGCATTTCTTTCTTGGTGTTGTATATAGGAAGTAATTGTAAATTTCAATTTATTAATTCATTCTGATTTAAGGAAGTACTTTGTTTTACTTAAATTTTGCATCTTATAAATCTAAATGTGTTAAAATAGGTTATATACAGTATAGTCAGTTTAAGGAAAGAAAATGTGTAATAAACATTTTAAGATTTCCATGAAAAATAAAATTTAAAAAGTTTAAGAAAGAATAATGAGGGCTGGGATTGTGGCTCAGTGGCAGAGTGCTTGCCTCACACATATGAGGTTTGATGCTCAGCACCACATAAAAATAAGTAAATAAATAAAGGTATTGTGTCCATCTACAATTAAAAAAATTTTTTAAAGAATAATGATATTATTAGACTATTAAATCATAGCTGGGCTCAATGGTGCATGCCTGTAATCCCAGCTTCTTAGGCTGAATATAATATAATTCAAGAGAATCTCAAAATAAAATTAAATAAAGGGCTGGGGATATAGCTCAGCGGAGGTGGAACACTCGCCTAACATGTGAGAGGCCCTGGGTTCAATCCCCAGTACTACAAAAGAACAAATATTAAATCATGTGAACAAATACCTTCATTCCTAGACAATGTCAGATTAGTAAGGTTTACTGTAACATGCAGAGATAATTTGTTTTAATCCTTAAAAGAATGAAAATAAAAACCACAAATAGTATATGAGTGACTATTTCTTTATTTCTTTTCTTTCTTCTTCTCCCTGGGGATCGAACCCAGGGGCAAATGCTCTACCACTGAGCTCCATCCCCAACCCCAAGTGATTGCTCTGAAGTAAGTTAGAGTCCAAACCAAAACAACAGAAGACCAAGCGTTTGTCATTAACTTATATTGTTTTTTCTCTCTCAAACAATCTATACGTCTTTTCCCTAAATCAAGGTTTCTCAATCTTGGCCTCTATACACTACATGTCAGTACCTACTTTCTCTGCTCTCCCCAGATGTAAAAACCTAGAATGTCTGCAAACATTGCCAGATGTTCTCTGGGGACAAAATAAGCCCTGGTTGAGAACCACTGCTCTGAATGGTTTAGAGAATAGAAGCTGTAGCACACATTGATAGGACTCTGGGATGGGGTGGGACAGAATGCAAAAGGTGTTTGTTTTGTTTTTATGACTGAAGACCATACATTTTGAATCAATATTATTTTAGTCAAATGATTTATTATTAAAGGGGAAAGCATCTAGTTCAAAGAGTTGCCCTTACAAGTATCAAAAAGTAGTAATGTTGGGCTGGGGATGTGGCTCCAGCAGTAGTGCGCTCACTTGGCATGTGCGTAGCCCTGGGTTCGATCCCCAGCACCACGTACAAATAAAGATGTTGTGTCTGCCAAAAACTAAAAAATAAATATTAAAAAATTCTTTCTCTCTCTTAAAAAAAGTAGTAATGTCTTATCAGAAGAGCCATTTATCATTACAGGGAGACTTCACAGAAAAAATCAGACACAATATTTTTTCCTAGATACAATATTTTTTTAGGTTCCTGAAACTACCTAAAAATAAACAGTATTTTTAAAAGGCTTCATAGAGGAAACTAGACTTAATCCTTTTTTCCTTCTCCATAGACAACATTGAAGATTAACAGGGTTTCCATTTTTTTTCTTACTTTATCTTTTTCCTTTTTGAATTTAGCTTTTGTGAAACAGGATTGTGAATATATTTTTACATTTCTGGTGAGGGTATCTTCAGCTATCTTGTTGCCCTCAGAACAAGATATGACTGTTTGCCTTCTGTGCGGTAGGTCACTGGACTGTAACGTTCACACACTGTCCTGGATGCGGAGTTATTTGGCCCGGTGTCCTTAAAGTAGTATAGTGGCTCTGGACTCACTTATTCTTCCCTTTTCCCCTTCTCACACAGCAGCAGCTGCTGATTCAGCAGACCGAAGTCCTCGGCCCACCTCTGCACCAGCCATTGCTCAGAGTCAGGTCACTGAGGGCAACGGCCCAGAGGAATCTGCCAAAAAAACACCAAAGGAAACAGTGAAGGTTGAAGGGAAAAGAGAAGAGGAGCCACCGGAGCAAGCTGAGCCAGAGCCCACAGAAGCATGGAAGGTACATCAATCCACATAACAAGCCAATTCACTTTCTGATTTAGAGGTCTCAACTCCTTAACTAGGAAAGTTTTCAAAGAAACAGAGTCTTGTACAGTCGCAACAAAGTTATTACTTCCTCATTCTTTCTGAAAGATGCCATCTCTCATGAACCTATAACATTTTCCTAAATTATGTTATAAAGACTATAAGCTATCCCAGAAGTTTTCAGGTGATCCACCCCTTGACCCAATTTAATATTAGAAAATTGGGATTATAAAACACACCAGCTTGGTTGATTGCTTTTTAAAATATTTTTCACTCACTCAAAAGGAATCTCCACCTTGCTTAGGAGTGAGCTCTGCTATTGTAATTAAAATACAATTTGATTTCCTAAGATGGATGTATGTGCAACATTTCAAAAGACTGGGTATTACAGAAAGCACATTTATGTGGTTGTTTAAATTGTAAGCAGCTAATAAGAAGGGGAACATCCATTATGTGGGAGAGGTTAGGCTGCTAGTTGCTTCAATTCTGAGTTGATTGTACCCATAGTCAGTGCACCAAGTTGAAAAATCAACAATTTAATTAGCAATTTTCCCAGAAGTAATAGTTACTGGGCTTTAAAAAAAATATACATGTGTATAAGTTTTTAAACATATTTAAGCAGTGATGGAGTTGAGGTGCTAGTTCAGGTTTCTAAAATTAAATGTGACCAACAAAAATTATGAGAGGCAGTCTCGTAAGAAAAATGTCATTCATGAGAAGAATTACATTTTAGATATTGTTTAAAAATTTAAAACTAAGATTTCAGTGATTGCATATGGATTAATCCTGTTCTTTTGGAGCCAGATCAATATCTAATTTATCTATATAACAGTGGGCAATCTGGTTCTGTTTCAACTATATTTAAAAAAAAAATGACATACAGCTTTACTGTCCTTTTAAGACTATCCTGAGTTCAGAGAGAATAAAAACTCTAGTGAAGGGTGAGTGTTGTCATTTTTGTAGCTAGCCAAATGTCCATGACATTATTGGTCATTAGGTTCCGAGTAAACAATGCTTTTATAATGTTAGCCTACCTGCTCAGTTTTTAATGTTAGGGTATATCATCTGGCACTGTTCACTATGCCTCTGTTCTTACATTAACTAGAACCTGTTGGGTTGTGGGAGTAGTCAGGGGACTCTTCCATCTGGCTAACTGTTCTCTGGCTCTCTGCTGACCTGCTGTTCTCCTTTTGTCTGTAAGAGAGACAAGTTATCTTTAAAAATAGGTTCTCTTTTTGGAGGATCAAATATCATAAAGACATAGGGAAGATCAATGGAGCAGAAGAAGGAACAGGAATGGGGAGGAAATGTGGAAGGAATTTAACAAAATCACGTTATGTACATATATATACACACACACAGGGAATTTCACCCTTTTGTATATGTAGAAAGCACCAATCAAAAATAAACCAATGAAGACTGGGGTTGTGGCTCAGTGGCAAAGCACTTGCCTGACTTATGTGAGGCACTGGGTTTGAGCCTCAGCACCACATAAAAATAAATAAATAAAATAAAGGTATTATGTCAATTTACAACTAAAAAATAAAAAGATAAATGAGTGAAAGGAAGATAGTAGAGGAAAAAGAAGAGGGAAAGGGAAGAGAAGTGGAGGGAACGGGGACTGAAATATAGTAAATCAAATTCCATGCATATATAAAGTGATATATATAACTCCTATGATGATATAACTCCTATGCATAACTATAATGCTTTAATTAAAAAAAAAAAAAAACAGGTTCCTGTTGCTCTTGGGACCTCCAGTAAAATGACAAAAACACTCCATGGTATACTACTTTAAGTGCTAAAGGCCGGGGCGAGGGGGGTCTTATTTCCACTTAATTCTATATAAATATGTGTTTTGAAATGCTCATGTGGAATGTTGAAATGAAACTGAAAACCACTTCTGATAGCCTACTACTGCAGTACTAGTGGCAGAATCAAGGGTGAATCTGAGCTGATTTCATTTATAGCAGTTAGAAAATAATTATAGCAGTTACTTGAAGACATGTATTATATAAAGCAACAGTAATAATAAAGTAACTTTATAATTGTGAAAATTTCATTATCTAACACTAGTTTGATGCCAGACAGTGCTAGCTTTTTATCATTTCCAGTCTTTCCACAAAGTCTGTTCTGCAGTTGTGGAAGCAACTCTCCTCCATGTATATCTCTATCTCATTTAATGTTCCCCATAGGGTTATGAGTAGAACTACTGTGTGCTACTTGGTCTCAATTCTTTTTCTGGTGTTGCCCAGGCAAGCCTGAAACTCCTGGGCTCAGGTTGATTCTTCTGCCAGCCTCCTGAGTAGCTGGGACTACAGGTTGTCCCACTGCTCCTAGTTTTTTGACCTCAATTCTTAAACTGAAGTAGAAGCTCTTAATTTCCTGCTGTTGGATTGCTGAGAACACAAAAAGATATTTAAACGAGGAATTTATGCTTTATAAAACAATTAATACTGCTATTTTGCTAAGTGTATATAATTCTATGATGACATTGTCTTCATTTTGTGAATAAGATAACTTTAAGTTCAGACAAGTGAAATAACTTGTTGACAGCCACATAGTAAGTGTGCTGATATTCAGAGTAGAAAGAATCCAATTGTTAATTACCCCTGGTAATTTAAAAGTGCTATAGCTGGATGTGCTTATGATTTGACAATATTTCAAAGTATGGTATTCTTTTGATTTTTACATTTAGTCCTAGAGGAAGTAACACAGTGACATTGTATTCCAAGGTAATGCTGCTTAGCATGATTAAAAAGAATATATAAAACCACAGGTTAGTGAGGTTCTGTAAAGAATTTAATGACACGGGTGGGCTCTGTGGTACACACCCGCAATCCCAGCCATCCAGGAGGCAGGAGGATAGAAACATCGAGGCAACCTGGACACCTTGCAAGACCCTTTCTCAAAAATAATAGAGGACTGGCAGTGTAGCTCAGGTAGAGCATCCCTGGGTACAATCCCAGAATTGGGGGTGGTAGGTGAAGAAGATGAAGAAAGAAAATAATTTAATGATACAAAATGATTAACTTAACCTTTAATTAAAAATCCATTTTCTAATTTTGAAATATCCAATATTTTAGGCAGTTCTCACTCTATTATGTTTCTTTTTAATAATGTATCTGTGGTTTTTTTTAATAAGTACTTCATTTTCTGTGTATAAAATGACTGTTACTAAAGGTATTTCAAAGCTACACAGGAGACCTTCACTATTCTTTTCACTATTGAGGATGAATCTTGCCCTTCCCCAAAACACATGAGCTATAACCCCCTAGAGAGGAGCTGGTGGAGAGCTGAGTGTTGCTGCTGAGTCCTGTGTGTGTTATTTATAAAACAACCCTGGAAGTAATTGCATGTGTCAGTTACAATTTGGATGTTTATTTTGATGTTTTGTGGTGTAATAAACTAAAGAGTGAAATTACCTCCTTAAATATTTTGATCAACTAACAAAATCCGTCATATTACCTGTTCAGTGTCATGTTATTATATGTGTTTTAACTATAAAAATTTTATTTCTATCATGTATAAAATGATATTTTTATTTATAAATTTATTTTTTAATCATAAGAAAGAAAAGGCAAAACAAAAACATGACTATAGTATCAAATGAGCCTAAGTTATTTTTAGTGAGTAGTTTTTTTTAATAAATAGTACAAAAATGGTTTCCTTCATTGATAGGGTGAGTACCTGCATTTTCTCTTTTGGTGATGTGGTTGATTGTCCATGTGGCCTGGTCAGCTTTACAGCTATGGTGGTGAACTAACACGTTGCCACCACCAGGAAGACGTGCCCCTAACACCTGCCCTGAGACTGCATCATCCTGTTTCTAACCAGCGTAACGATGCAGCTTGTTTGGAAGCAATGCTATTCATGGAAACCTACTAACCTATACTGTTTTTACCACTTTATTTCTTAAATGTAGGTGGAAAAAACCCACATCGAGGTCACAGTACCCACCTCAAATGGTGACCAAACACAGGTTTGTGCCAACAGGCCACTTGTTCCTTTTTCCCTCCACTCCCTCAGTTTTTTCTTCTCCCTCACTCCCTTTTCCTTAAAAATAAAATAGATTGACGGTTCAAGCAAACTTCAATGAGCCAATATTTTGTTATTTTTTTTCTTTTTTGAATTATGGCAAAACAGAAGCTTGCAGAAAAACCCGAAGATCTGATAAGAATGAGGAAGGTTAGCCATGTTCATCTTCACAAAGCTACATTGCCATTTCACCCGTGCTGACTTACAATTCATTAAAAAGACAGTGATCCATTCTTTTCATTGATTTCTCTTAATCAGAACTTACTTTAAAAGGACAGTTATAGCCCAGTGTAGTGACACACCCTGTAGTTCCCATGGCTTGGGAGGTTGAGGCAGGAGGACCATAAGTTTGAGGGTAGTCTCAGCAACTTACTGAAGCCCTAAACAACTTAGGGATGATACCTTATCTCAAAGTACAAAATAAAAAGAACACACACACACACCAAAGAAATTATAATCTTATACTATTTTCTTTAAAGATTTTGTTGGTCTAATGTGGTGGTGAACACCTGTAATCCCAGCTATTTACAAGGCTGAGGCAGGATTATGGCAAATTCAACCCAGCCTGGGCAATTTAGCAAGATCCTGTCTCAAAATAAAAAAATAAAAAGGGGTAGGGATGTGGCTCAGTGGTAGAGCATCCCTGGGTTCAATCCCAGTATCAGGAAAAAAAATTTTTTTGTTCAACTTAAAATATCTTTTTTCTTTTAACAAAATGAAATAACCAGTGAGGTTATTTCATAAAACCTATCTTTTACATTCAAACTTTATAAGAACTATGCCACAATGGCATCCCATTTTTGGAATCATTTGTGATATTTTATACATATTTATCATGAAAGGCATCATAGCAGCAGCTCCCAGTGTTAATAGCTACATGTTTGACTGTTGTGTGCCTCATTCCTCCCTGCTGCAGAAGAGATGAATCAGTTCTTACTGAATATATTTATTGGCCAATTATAAAATGCCCTTAGATCTTTTTTTATAAAAGATATTAGAGATCTAGATGCTACAGTATTACTAAGTATGAAATACCTTCAAAAAGCTAAATAATGTTTTAGATCATTTTTCCACTCTATAGTGCCTGGAATTTCAAAGCTTTTCAAAGTTATATATTGTTTTAGGGTAATGTTCAAATAGTTCAGTTTCAAAAATGAACATGTAACAGCTTATTACCTAAGAAGCCAATGAAGCCAGGAACACTGTCTATTTAAATAACGTCATCACAGTCTCTCATCATTCATCAATAAGGTCATCCATCTTCCAGCGGTAATCATGTTCTCCGTGTGTCCTTGTGGTTCTGTGACCATTTCATGTTGGCATATGCTGTGCTGCAGACATTTAATTTACGTATTTTTTTGGTTTGCCAATTTGCAGTTTTTTCCTGCAAGAACAACTTTTTAATTTTTTATGCTTTTCTGTTTTTCCCCCCTTTCATTTTCACAGAAAAAGAGAGAGAGACTAGATGGTGAAAACATTTATATCAGACATAGCAATTTAATGTTGGAGGTTTGTATGAACTTGAAGCTTATTTCAGTTGGTTGCCTGGAACCTTCTGCATTCTTTACTGACCCCCTTTTCTTCATTCTATGCTGCATTTGGTTTTGCATGCCACTGCATGAAATGATTTTAGGTTTAAAATGCTTTTGCATGTTGGTAAACATGAAGATATGCAACCATCTCTCCTGGTTATTTTTAGTTTCCATCTCTCATGCTATCTAAAAAAAAATATATGATTGGGACTACCTCTGGTAGTCATGGTTCCATTATTTTACCCATATTTCAGAAAGTTCTACATCACTGCTTAAAGTTCCTTGAATTTTTCAAGAGTATAAATTTCTATATATTCCAAGAAGCAAATTGCAGTTTTCATTTTCTGAACCAAGGCAGTGTGAAAAAGTAAGAAAAATTATCACAATTCAGAATGGACTTGAAATATTGGGAGTGTAGCCCAGTGGCAGAGCACTTACCTAGCATGAGTGAGGCTCTAGGTTCAATCTCCAGCACCGAAAGAAAAAAAAAATAATGAAGATGGGATGGGCCAGGGATGTAGGTGGGGGAGTAAAATATAAGAACGACAGAAGGGAACCTAACATTTAATGTAGTTACTATAAGATGATTTCATCTTGAAAAACAAAACGGAAGTGTGGGATTTTTATTTAAGATGTGAAAACAAGGGGCTAGGGTTGTGAGTCAGTGGTAGAGTGCTCGCCTAGCATGCATGAAGCACTAGGTTCGATCCTCAGCACCACATGAATATAAAATATATTGTGTCCACCTGGAAAACTAAAAAAATATAAATATTTTTTAAAAATAAATAAATAAGTAAAGATGTGAAAACAAGCATAGCTGATAAATTGGAAAAGGTAGGATCTGAATTAGGGATTACACAACTATTAAATTGCACTATTTAATTCCTGTCTGCTACAGGAATTATAAGGTCATTTTCCTACTATGTTTGACATTGGCCAGATTGTTACCAGACCTGTATTATTATACTTTATCTAGTTTTGGGCTCCATGTTGGATAGGAAAATGTAAAACTAATTAGGTAAAGGAAAGTTTATGAGAAAAAAGTTAGAAAACTAGATTGTTCCATGTGGAAAAACCTGAACTCAAGTTAGTTTATACTTCAGAAAAACTCTTGTATAGATGACCAGATTATTCTACAGCTCCACTCAGTGCAGAACCATAAGAGATGAGTGTGAACTCTTTCATCAGGGGTATATAGTAGCTTAACTATAAAGGAACTGTAAATTACAGGAAGATGAATAAACATGATTCCTGTCTTCAGGAAGCTTATAATGTGTAAACTGGTGAGGAAAGAAACAAAAAGTTAGTAAATAGCAATAAATGATTGTAAGTTATTGTAGACTCCGCATAGGAAATAAACAGTATGCTGTGCTGACAAAGGAATAATGGACAGGGGAGGTCTCTCTAAAGATAATATTTTAATTGGGACCCAAAAGGTGAACAAAAATGTAAATATTATTAAACTGGAAGTTTTAAGTAACTTTAAAAGACAGATCTCTGTTTAATATATGGGATTCTAATAATTATTCAATCTCACTTTTTGCCAATACCTATATTTTGATATAGCACCTGCTATTTATAAGGTACTCTGATTAAAGAAATGAAAACTATGGTCAGCCTTCATTCAACATATACTGTGTGGTAGGCATAGTACCGAGTGCTTTACATACATTTGTCTCTTACAACATGAAGTTTTCCAAGGACTCTTGGATATTTCAGACTTGGAAACTAGATCACTTTGTTTTAGCCCATATCTGAGACTAGACCTGAAACATTCTGTCTTCTGAGATTAGGAAGGAAAATAAATGGCGGTTGCTGTCCTTGGCTCAGCAATGTGACATCTCCAGACCCTAAATATATTTCCTGACTAGTCCATCTTCGGTGCTTCCTCTTAACTGGAACCTACAGTACCAATCATATATTTGTCAACTATTCCATCAGGTGTGTTATGGCTTCTGAGACTCATGAAGTCCCTGTGTGTGGTGTGCTTTTTCCCCTGGCATTTCACTGACAGCCATGAGAGGGGATTTATAAATAAGTGTGTTTGAAAATTAAAACTACTAACTGACTTTGGAGAACATTTTATATTTAATGAAATGTTTGGTTTGATTGCTACTAAAATGATAAGATGATAGGCATCAAAAATCGTCTAACCTAAACACAGCCAAAATAATTTGACTGACCACCATTCTTTAGTTATTGTAAAAAGTGCCTCCCCACAAGGAAGGTCTCTCAAGTTATCTGTCACCTTAGCATTTTTTTTTTTTAAGCATCCCTCTTCCCCCCTTCTCCTACCCCACCCCCACTAATGCTTTGTTCTGGCACAAATAAGGTCGAGTTCATTTTTAGATCTACCACCTCCTCCTCCATCTCCCAGAGAGAACCTGTAGCAAATATCTATGACAGGTTCTATTTGGAACAGGTCCCTTTGAGATCTTAATTTTATACTTCTGTGCCCCCACAGGTTTTCAGCAAAGCCAGCTAAGAAGGATGGAGAAAGCTTCCTCAGAAGCTCCTGGTTTTATAAAAAAAAAAATTATTTTCTCAGGTTCCAAGCCAATCAAAAGCTAGGCAAGAAGAGTAACAAATCACCAGTCACTCATATTAAGAGCTAGCTCAGAGAGTTGTGATTTTACCATTGCATCTCTTGCTCATTTTTATTTTGCTCCATTCACACGTTTAACCCTCGAATGTGCTGAGTTTTTCTTGGCCCAAACAGATTTAATTTCCACTCAGGAGCCGGGACACAGGGCCCAACCCTGATCTTTCAGTGAGCTTGTTTAAGCTTTTCTTTAGCTAGTGAACACTCTTTCCTTCCTTTCAGTTAGAGCAAAAGTGCAACCCATATTCACACAATAGACTCTCATTTCATCCCAGTAAGCAAGAGATGGCTCTACAGGGAAACTACGGGGTTGCCTTTTTTGTTTAGTTTTTTCTTTGGCTCATCTCAAAGCAAATATGCATAGGTCATTCTTGCAAAAATAAGGAACTAGAAAATGAATTTTTTGAATGAATACATCCAGAATCAAAATTGTCATGTGGGCTGGGAGTGTAGCACAGTGGTGGAGTGCTTGCCTGGCATATTCGAGGCCATTTGTTCATCCCCAGCACCACCAAAAAAGTTTTCTTAGGACTGGAGATGTACCACAGTGGTACAGAGCACCCCTGCATTCCAACCTCAGTACTATAAACAAACAAAAATTGTTTTCATGTGTCTCACTGGTTCTTTTTCCTATGCTATTTTTTTTCCTTTTATATTGCTTTTGAAAAAAGTTTTATTTAGTTGAAGCACATATTGCCCTTAGAAAGAACTTTTTAAAACTAATTTTTATTTAAATTAGTTTTCTTTTTTCTTTCTTTTAGAATGAAGCTGTCTCCAACAGAGCCAAAAAAGAAAGACTAATCCCAAAATTCATACAGCATATTAGGAGATATATTTAGCATTATACTTTCCTTGGATACAGAACTGCCCTGATAAACACAGGATTTTTTACAGTCATAAAGTGATGGGCTCCAAATATTGTGATCTCAAGCTCAAACTATTGAGGTTTTTTGGACAAAGAACATTTGAGTCTTTGTCTTCAATTTATATTTACCAACCTATTTTTGGTGAAGTGTCCTTTTTGAAAGTTATCATGTACTTATTTTAAATAAATCTGAATATTTCTAGCCCATGCTTTATTAACATTAGTTTTGATCATTTCTTCCTGGAATATTCCTTTAAAGAGCTTGCCTCTACCTCTAGTTGCCCAGTATCCAAATCTGCTGGAACAGTTGAATTATTTTAAATTGTCAAGGAGATATATAAGGTATTTGACAAACTCTTATGGTCCTTTCCAATCCAGTGAAAGTTATTGGAAGAAAGTTTTTTTGTGTGTGTATGTAAGGTATTAAGGATCAAACCCAGGACCTTGCACATGCCTGGCAAGTGCCCTACCACTGAGCTTATGTCCTCAGCCCTAGAATGTCTCTATTTCAAATCATACTAAGGATTGATGTGAAACTGTTAGAAACTGGAAACATAAGGGCTGGAGCTGTAGCTTAGTGGCAGAGCACTTGCCTGGCATGTGTGAGGCACTGGGTTAGATCCTTAGCACCACATAAAAAATAAACAAATTTTTTTAAAAAGGCATGCTATCCATATACAAGTACAAAAAATAAAAATAATAATAAAAAAGAAACTGGAAACATGATATTCTTTTTTCTTTTTTATTTTTTTAGATGGACACAACACAATGCCTTTATTTTTTTATATGGTGCTGAGGATTGAACCCAGGTCCTGTCCATGCTAGGCAAGTTCTCTACCACTGAGCCACAATCCCAGCCCCAATATTCTTTATAATATTCATAAAGAAGAAAAACCATTATGTTCATACTCCTGAGCAATTTTTCAGAGGTAGTAACAATCGATTTTGGAAGCTTTAACTAGGAATTTTAGTAATAAATTCTTATATTTAAAAAGGGCTATTCCTGTTTATCAAAAAGAAAGAACAGCTTCTTAGTAGTACAGTAGTAAAACTATCTCCATTACAAATAGGATACTATTCGATGGTAACTCACCAGGGCACAGTCGTTAGTGGGAAGTGGAATCTTTCACCCTGTCCTTCATTTAACAGTTTATCTGTTGCTATCTCCATCCTGCCTGAGCTGAGCCTAAATCATTTCTTATCAAGCTGAGGCTAGCTGAATTGTGGGATTACCTTCTTGGGTTGAGGAGCTGGAGATCTGGTTTTACATCATGTTAGGAAGAAGAGTCATAAAATGAAGGAGTGAACTCTTGGGGTTATGTAATAGCTAAAGCTGTAGGGTTGTGATGCTTCACTGCTTCTAAGAAAAGCACCTTGCTTTTAAATTAAAAAAAAAAAAAATCAAGCAAATATACCATGTTGTATATTTACAATTTGAATGTCATTTGTGGGTTAGTAACATCTATCCTGGATGTGGTGTGTTTTCTACCAGCGCCCAGTCTCTGTTGGGTTGCCTTTGGTGTATTTTTTTTGTCCCAGTTATTTATTGTTTTGCATCATTGTCCTTCCTGCTGTAGGATTTGGACAAAAGTCAAGAAGAGATCAAAAAACATCATGCCAGCATTAGTGAGCTGAAAAAGAACTTCATGGAGTCTGTGCCAGAACCACGGCCCAGCGAATGGGATAAACGCTTGTCTACTCATTCCCCGTTCCGGACGCTTAACATCAACGGGCAAATCCCCACAGGAGAAGGAGTGAGTACTGTGTCTACATGACTGACTGTGAGAACGAATGGAGTAAGGTTTTCATGTGTTAGTGGTCTGCATCTGAAAGTCTAGAGCTGAAATTTAGCTTTGGTGCCTCAACAGTTCATTTTAGTTTTAAAGCATTCGCAATCAGACATTTATTTTTTAAGTCATGAAGCCAACCCAGTTCAATTGTGGAAGTCATTTAGATTTACTAGTAGATGATTAGGCTCTGAGAATGATCTCTGCAGCTGCATGCTTCTGACTAGTGTGTGTTTATAAATTGACCATAAGCCAAGAAAGCCTTGCGTATATTCAGAATGTGCCTCCCAAGACCAGAAAGTTTACTAAATTTAGTAAAGTCAAAATTGGAAAGGGATTAGCATTTTTTTAAAACTTTATTTGACCATTTGTGCAACTTAAAAATGTCTGGAATGATTGCCCACAATTATATAATAAGCCAAGGAGGCCTTTAAGCCAGAGAATGCAAAACACCAAGTATCAATGATTGTATTTCAATTTTAGAAGAATAACTTTTAATATGCTTTATAAGATAGTGTTAATTAGAAGAAGTCAGAGATACCGTTCAGGGGATTTTCTTTCTCTGTTATTATTGTTGTTACTTTTGAACTCCTACACCTGAAAAAAAAAATGTATTTGTTTAATGAAAAGATCTTGTAAATTACCTTGGGTATATCTCCAAAAAATCTTTTATCTCCAGCCAGTACACATTAGGTATTTATATAATGAGTGTTGAACTATTCTTAAATTATGTGCTTTCTTCCCCGTGAACAATAGCAATTCTAGTAAGAACTGTAAATTTGTCCTAATTAAAAACCTGCAGTTCAGCAAGCTGCAGTGGTGTGAACTATAGTCTCAGCTACTTGGGCTGAGGCAAGAGAGTGCTTGAGTCCAGAAGTTTGAGGCAGGTCTTTGCAACATAGTAAGACCCTGTGTCAAAAACCAAATAAACAAACAACCCGAGAGAGAGAGAGAGAGAGAGAGAGAGAGAGAGAGAGAAAAGAAAAACCAACTGGTTTTTTCTAATTTTCAGAATTCTTGGTTTTATTGTTTAGTTTCTAGAACTGGAGAAGGAGAGAAAAGTTGATCCACAAAGGGGGTACTTTTTGTATTTTTCAAAATGTGATTAAAATTGACTAACAATTCTCCAAATAGTTTTACAAGTAAGACTGGAGAATACTTGAATAATGAACAGTCAAAGTAGAGTTTCTAAGGATGATAGCACAGTGGTATTCCTACTCATTGTCCCCTCAGTTCCATTCCCTAATCTAAAGGGACATTAGTCATATTCTGAATCTAGGGCATATATCCTAAACTGGGACAATAACCCTGCTTTCTGGGTAAGACTACCCCTCTCAGTGTTAGATATTTCATTTAGATATATTCCTAATAATAAGAATCATAAATGTCCAGCAGGAATTGTGGCTTCATTTGATTGAGAGGTTCTGGCCAACTGAAGCCTAACTGATTTTGAACAATTCATTTATCTTGCTGGGCCCCCATTTATGGAGTAGGTGATCTGTAATGTCCTTGTAACTCTAAAATCTTACGAATGAGAAAATGGCTTGTTGCTATCTTACCTACTAACCCTAGCTGAAAACCAAAACTGCATATTTTCCAGAAGTTTTATTTTTGACTTTGTACAGTTCAACTACTTTGAAAAAATAACTTGGTGCTGTCTTCCATAATATTGGGTAAATTTGTATCAGTCTCCATTTCCAGAAAATATCTTAAGTCTTTTAATAGAAACCCTTTAGAAATTATCTTAGGACTGGTTTTGGGAATGGCAATGTCATTCTGTGGACTTTAAAGAAGTGACTTTTTATAAAATAAATGAGGCCCATGAGGAATACTTGAATAATTTTGGCTCTATGCTTACGTATATTTACCTCTCTAAATGAGTAATGGAATGAATAAGAATGGTATCATAACTTTTTATATTAGGATAATTCCATTTTCTGGAATATCTTACTTTTTCTTTCGTAATTAGGATAGTATTTCTGTCTCTGGGCTTACCTCTTCCACCTTTGATAGCATGGTTGTTGCATTGCAAGGCAACTGAATTCTATTGTAATTTGTGTATGACCAGGTGAAGAAAACCTCTGTCCTCCCCTCGGAAAGAAAGGTTGGTGGGCCAGAGGTAAAGCTGCTGTTGCAACTTATGCTTCTCAATCAGAATTTGCTCTTGTCATGGCACTAAGCAGAAAATCCCCACAGAACTGAACAACAGCTGCTGGATAATTTTTTTCTTTTGGCTATTCTAGTAAATTCACACCCACAGCCTTCGGCCTAACACATTACACTTTCACTGCTGCTGCATTGCAGCTTTCAATTTGCTTATTTCGGCGCATGGCTAGTTGAAAAGCTGCATGAAGATGTAAATATGTATTCAGAGAGAAAATGAATTTAATTATACCCTATTCTTTTTATGTTGTCTTTCTTCTCCCACTTTATTTTCTTTTAAAAATCATTATAATTTTGCATCCTTTCTTTTCCGTTTTTTTCTTTTTGCTGACCAGTCCCCTAGCTACTTTCTCCCTGATACATGTCACTTAGGGGTGTGCAAAGAACCAGTACTGAACTTCCAAACTGATCAGAGAAGGCTAGCCCAACTGAAAGAACTTAGAGCCAAGTTTTTCCTTTCATAGATAAGAACCATCTTGACTATGGATAGCAGAGGACAAAAATTGCTGGGGAGGAAAATTGACAATTGGGGCAAAGAACTTTCCTTAAAATTGTCAAAAGTATTTGCTTACACCTTCATCATGGTCACTATTTTTTTTTCCTCGTGATTCTAACTGTGCAATTGTTGAGATTTTGTGGGTTTAAAAATTTTTTTCTTTGATTTTTTTTTTTTGGTAGACCCTGTAGGTACATTATAAACTTTTATACTTTGTTTTTATTTTGAAATCTTTAAAATGTATAAGACTTTTATTCCCTTGAGCAAAAGCTAATTATCATATTGAACAATTGCAGTTTTTAAAGACTATGTAAAGAGATACGAGGATCACTTTTATATTCTGCCATTTTACTTGTAATAAGAATAACTCTTCTCCTGGTAAGAAGAATACCTTTATTATTGGCATTGCTCAGTTTATTGGTGATGGACAGTACTGAAGCAATGAAAAATGGCCAAAATTCACATGTGAAAAAAAATTATATGTGAATATCCCCAAAAGAGGACTAAATAATATAAGTAAGGAAAAGTACTGATTCCTAGAATTAGGCATTCTAATGCCTAATTACTAGAATTAGGCATTCTAATATTCATTTATTCAAACAATTAGAGCACCCTACTGTGTTCTAGAAACTTTGCTAGGATAGATTGCCAAAGTAAATCTCAAAAGAGTGTCCAAAAGGTCTTTTCAAATCCTTTGCACATCCCCAAGTATCATTTTTGAGCACTTTCCATCTGTCATTTTGTTCATCTTTCTCTGTCTTTCTTGATCTTCTACCGTGAAAGCAGACACAGGAACGTGCTCTGTTAGTACAGGATGAAGAGAAAATTAAAAGGCAAGAGAGATCTGCTGAAAGAGTCTTACCCCAGCAAGAAAATGAAGAAATTCCTCCCAAGGTTTCTATTCCAATCCCTGAGGATCACAAGTCTCTCAAAAAGTGCCACCTCTACTCTAGTACTTTTCCATCTCCTCGTATTCCCTTCATGATGTCTTTTCTTGTGGTCCTTGCATTAGCTGTTTGGTGGTTGGTCTTTCTGTGATCGGAAAACAGGGTGCTCATCTGAAATGTCAAGACTAATACCAGTGAACTTTTGTCCTTAACTTCAAATGTTTTATCACCTATATGATGCCTCTGATAGTTCACTGTCCTAGGGAAGCTCTTGTGATCATTTTTCTGTCAATAAAATGTTACTTTGTAGAAAATGTATTGTGGGATAAAAGGAGTAGCAATGGATTGATTACCCAAGCCAATTTTTCTGTACTGAAGTTAACAAATTTAGACAAATCAGATTTAAGCACATGGCAAGTTGGTACTTTTCCCAAAAGCTTTAACTCTTTTATCCTGCATGTTCTCACTGTTGACTGTTGCTGTGTCCTCACCAGTGTCTCACACAAACCAGGATACTCTCTAGAAACATTTGATGAGAACTTTCCCAGGCTCCTGTAGTCATTTGTGTGGCATGGGCTCCGTAGTTTAAGAAAAAAAAATTGACTTGCTAACCTTTCAAAAGCCTTAAAATGATAAAGTTTTAATCTATAAATCCATAACCACTCCTTTTCTTAGAGTATCAAGCCGGTATATACAAAGGCCTTTTTCTAGAAAAGGGCTTTTGACATCTGTGGCCTTTTTATGAGTATTTCTGAGCTGTACAGGGACAGATGACTTTATCCTGCTGGTGTATAGAAAAGATCTGCAAAGGCTACATGCTGTCTTTTCATAAGCAGAGTGTTGATTTAGTTTAAAGAAAATGGTGCTGGTGTCCCCTGGCCTCTGGCCAGGGCTGAATATCTCAGATTACTCTACCTATCTTTAAATGTCCTGGAATACAGATTTATTTCAGATCTGTACATAAACAGCCCCTTCTCTGAATTAAAATACTGTGTTATTTTGTTATAGCTTAAATAATTACATTGCTATAGAAGCAATATTTAGCCATTATGATAAGCTTAACATATATAGAGAGATATATAGATATAGATATACTTTGTTCTCCTAATATACTTTGGACCTGTTTGTTCCTATACCTGTGTTGAAAATCGATTGTTTTTAATCACTGGGCTTGTGAGCTAAAGTTCTGTTGTGATAAGTTATATGTCTCCTGTTTGCATGTTAATTTATAAGGCTTCCCTGAAGTAAATACGAGCACTCTCTCCTCAGAACACAACTTGGATGCCTAACTTGTTGTTTTTTTTTTTTTTTTACCTCAATATTAATGAAACTTTGCATGTAGCTTGCTTTTTTTGGCACTGGAATGTACCAATATGGGTGATTTGGTTAATGTGTCAAATATTGTTTTGAACTTTGCGTTT